CGAGAATCGTCGATTGGGTTCCTCGCATTGTCAATCGACGATTTAAGATCGGGTTCCGAGTGACTCCTGCTGCTTCCTCCTATTTGCGAAACATACACACGAGCCATAAATCATCGCGTAAATTACATTACTTGCACCTTTTTTTTTTAACATTTTCGTGACGAAATACGAAGTGCCTTTGGAGTCGCACAAAATTAACAAGCCATAAGTTTTCGGGCGTTTCTACCATCGATTTTTCTGAGGGCAAGTCTCAAGTTGAGCAATTGATCGAAGTAGTATATTATGTGATAATTTTTATTTTTGTTCTTCCTGGACGCGCAAGTTTTGGACAGGAAAAATCAATTATACCGGCACTGGAATTGTTTATTTTTGCTAGCTTGCAGCAGACGGTTTAGAACATTCGCAAACCGCTCAAGAAACCCGCGAAATTAATTCAAACGAAAGAAATGAAATGAATAAGAAAAGAAATGATATGACAAAAACGATGAAAGCAAAACCCGTAAAATAAGGCATAATTTCAAATGAAATCGATTTAACTTAGCTTCAATGTTAAAAAAAAAAAGCTCAAACCCTTTTGCAGACGAAACAGTTTAAGCAGACAACGAAACAGTTTTTATACCACTCGAACAGTATTTTGAACATTTGGAATTTTTCTCGTGCTGAAAATCGTTTGAAATAAATTAATTTTCAGAGCTTTAAAAATGAGAAAATTTTCTGGCTGAAGCGAAAATGATGGTATTTCACGTAGAAAGATGACACAGTTCGTGGGTCTGTGTGCATTAAGTCGTTTATGACTCTTGATTCCAATATACAGAGAGAGAATTTGAGGAAACAATCAGATATGTTTTGAATGTCAAGGATTGGAGAAAAATTACCTCCATGTCGCTCGATTCCATCCAAAGATAGTGTCGATGATCGATTTTTAGTTGTTTGTACAGCAGCAGCATTCCCAGATTCGTGAATGGAACCTTCTGACCGAGATCGAGTCAATGTTACGTTCCAAAATGTGCTTGGATCCAAAAAATTCTGCGAAAGGCAAAATATAACTTATGCTCATAAAAGGAAAATATATATTCATTTTTGGTGTAAAATGTGAAAAGTTCAAGTCAAAATGCCGGCGTTTTCAAAAGCCGTGGGCATAAAATCATTGGACGAGAAGCCGAGGAAAAAAGCAAATCGCGCAAAGCGAACTACGGAGGAATTTTGCAGAGGAAAACCTAATACAGAATTTGTCAGATATAAAATACCAATAAAGAAAATCACATGCTTGAATAATATCTACTGCAAAATCAGAAAGATGAGATCTCTTATTCGCAGCATTTTCCCTCATGAGTCATGACACCTTATTGTCATGATATTTTCCCCCGTTTTTCATTTTATTTATTTTTTAATTATTTTAAAGCGAACTCACGGAATTCTCCTTTGGTTTACTGGTGATTATTTCGACAGTTTGTAATCTTTTCCCGGGCTTGTGCAGCAGAGCCATGGCTGAGGCCTCCGGACTGATTCCTTGTCTTTCTTCCCATTCCAGAAGCCGTCTAGCAAATGACCTGCTAATTCCGCCAAACCGTAAACAAGCTCCGGAAGCCGTCCTCACGAGTATTTCCCGCTGGTGATTTTCATCCTCCGGAGTTCGCAGAGCCATTTTTATCTGCTCCAACCTGAGTCAACAAGCTTCAGTCATTGTTTGATACTGTGCTGTAATTGCAACAATTATTTCATTCGAAAGGGGAAAAAAGCATTGTTGAAATCCCTCTTCGACTAGCCGTATTTCTGACAAGTCCAACCAAAGGTGACAATCTGCTGCTGAATAGTTCATGCGCTTTATTAAAACCCTCTTGCTTTTTTTCATGGATAGGCAGCATTTTTTCGCGAAAATTCTTCCCAATTTTCCATGGACTTTTCAATGTTTAACACAAAAATCAAACAATGGTCGGAAATGTGTGAAGTACGCAAAATATTTATGAGGAAATAAGCAACCCCTAGATATTTCATGCTCATAAATAAAATTCCGTCATAGAACGCGAAGATAAGCCCCCAACAACTTTCCTGGTGTTCTGAAATCTCAGGGACCAAGAATTTCTGACTAAATTTACTTTTTACCCAGAAAAGGTGCAATGGTGTCACACAACCCGTGCACTTGACCTCCAGTCAATGACCTATCCATCGTTAAGTGTTGAAAACTGACCATTTCTAAATTTTTTCAGACTTGAATTTCAAAAAATGAAGAAAAGAAGTGCCTAACTGTTTTGTGCGCCGCGAACAAGACATTTTCCTGATGTAGACGCATTTTTTCACAAAATGCATAAAAATTTAAATATAAGCACTCCTAGTTTTTGGGCTTATAACATTGAAAAAAAGGGGGCCGACATTCGCGTGAATACGGTACAGAATGTATTAATTATACAATGATACAGTACTGTATAAGAATTCCTAGAATCGTGAATACTCGTAGTGAACATATTTTCTTTATAAATACGGAATAATCTAAAAAGATTTCAAAATTTTGTTTTTTACTACAGTATTTATAGCATTGGGATTTTCCGAGTTACCCTAATTTTCCGGACAATTATAATAGGCAGGAGTGACTTGTTGTGGATCTTTGAAAATTTTGAGAAAATCTCAACATCAAATTTTTTCACGGAGATATATAGCATGCGAAAAAGTCCCGAGAGTCATGAAGATTTTGAGTGTGTTCCAGCAGTGAGAAGAAATTAATTAGAGGGAATGTACGTTCGGAGTGGCAGGGACACATTTGAAAAGCGACTTTTTACTGTTCCTCTATTTCCAGAACGAGATCGCGTTAAAATTAGCGCACCTGGCTTCTCGTCGGAGAAACTTCTCCTTCTCTCGTTCCAGCCGCCGCTTTTCTCGCTCGATTTTCTTGAGTTCCTTCTCCAACCACGCCATGTCTTTCTCCTTATTCGAATGCTTCCCGCTGCTCTTTTCCTCTTTCGAGTAAAATTTGCTTTGCAATTCTTGTTTTGGCTGGGATCGGACTGCTGCTGCTGCTGCTGACGTGGATTTCCGATCGGGCTTCGGGCTCGGCGTGATTATTCCGCCGGCAGAAGACAATGATTTGCTAGCATTCATCGCCTTTTTCTTTTCCCATTCCTGGAGTTTCTTGGTGAAGTCTTGCGGGAGCTTTTTTATTTGGTGTTCCGAAGGCCTCTGTGATGTAGTGCCGGAGTTGCGCATTTTTGCCCACTCGTCCAGCTTCTTTGTGAAGTTCACGCTGAGGTTTTTCTGGATGCTTTCGTATGCCTTCATGGTGGACAAAAAAATAATGTATCAAATATTTTTTGATTTACAAAAATCAGAGTTCGCCGCTCGTCAAGGAACTATAGTTGCTCTACATGAGCAAATACGTTCCACTGGTAAGATCAAGAATAACGCGCGAAAATTAATTTCATACCAATCCTCACCCCACTCGTCTTTAAAACGCCTTTTCGCAATTGAATTTCCCGATTAAAAAAAAATATGATTTATTTTTTCAACGATAGAAGCTTAGGGAATTGAAACGTTACAATTAAAAGTGAAGAGAACCTGCCAAAAGTAATCCAAAGACAACCAAAAATCAGTTTAGTCTGAAAAGTAACAGAATGGTGTCAATTGTTCGAAAATGTTTCTTATACGACTCGATATGATGGGAATTTTGCACACTGGCGCAGATATATCTAATTTTACGCATAAACATGATGTCGGTTGAAAAGCTCTTCGGTTTCAGATTATAATAGAAGCATTCTAGAGAAATAACCGATTAAAATACAAATTTCAGAAAATTGCATTGATTCTGCTTCATGCAATACTTGCAATAATATTGATGCTGCATTAGATGATTGTTTGTATAATTAAATTGAGGTTTATCTTTTTGCTTTCCTACAGCGAAATAAGCTCTTTTTTGGATCACTTCAAATCAGTACCTGTATATTGTTTTGAAATATCCGGCATTCATATTTCGAGAAAGCTTGGTTTTTGACGAAAAAAGGGTACTGGATCTTCAATTCTGAGTATAAGTAATGCAAAATTTTAATATTCCATTTATGCTCAACATCCAGTCGACGCGGTCGAAAACAGCATCGTAAATACAGTGTATGAAAATCCACTTGGCAAACCGCACATTTCGATTCGATCTCAAACATTTCCGTGCGGAATATTGTACGATCTGAACAGCCTCAATATCCGCTATACTTGAACTCGCTTTCGTATGCAGTGGTGCGATGTCAAAGAATTAATTATAATTTTTTTCTTTTTAGAATGATCAGTGCCAAACCTGATAAGTAGCAGCCGATGGTATCGTGCTAGACTCGGAAACCCTGCTTCTGTGAGAATCCCCGAATATTCGCTGGGGATTGAACGGATTTTTCGGCCGTGCTGAGTCAGGATCGACGGCTGAACTGTGATGCCTCACGCTTCCGATGATGTTGGCATTGCCCGTGTTGACGAGTGAGCCGTCGACGACGTTGGGGACGAGGCGCCGGTCGCGTTTGTCTTCCAGTTCCAGGATGTTTTCCATCCTCACCGGCAACACGCTTGACATGGCTATAAAACAAACCGAAACGAGCAAAACAAAATCCCTTCCACAAGTCAGTCGCATGAATCAATGAGCATGCTGCGTGCCATGATCAAACCAATCAATCCGGGGTAAACGGAAGTGTACAATACGACTATAAGTCAACAGGTGAATAAATGCGCGCGTCTTCGTTTGTTTTGCAGGTGAACAATAACACGATAAAATTCAATGGCGATTTATGAATTCCGCACTCGGTCATCAATATGCACACCAACATGAAGAATGCCGATTAAGACAAGCTTTGTGATGCTAAATGCAGCTGTGTTTATTCGCGAGATATAATACAGTACATTATTATGCTAAAAATTTTGTCGCGCTCGAAAAAATCAACTTTTTTCTACCGTTTTTTTTTTTCAAAAGAAAGAGCTGGACTTGATTAATCCATCAAGTTAAAATGAAAAATATACGCAAGAAATAGTCAAATGATTATTTCTCAAATAATGATGGAACAATTAGGGGTATTATGGTTCGAAAAAAGTGGAGGGATCAGGAATGCGAAATTCAATTTAGACTCGTATTATTCCTCCAAGAAAAATGAATGTACAGTATCAGGGATTCTGTCTTCGCATATAATTCCATCAGAGAAATAATCACGGCATATAAGACCATTACAGCAATAATACTGAATATTTTAACACTCTATGTCATATAATAAAGCACCATCTGTACCCCTTTGTAGAAGTTTCTATAAATGTCCTTAACTAAGACGCTAACTTGTAGCATGACCTCGCAAAGACGAATGATTTTAATTCAGATTGAACAGCTGTGTTCAGTTCCTGAGTTACTTCAAAATGTACAGCGATTGCTGATGGAGAACATTTATTCCATCCGAACATGACTACAAATCAAATCCGATTTCTAGATAACCCTTTGAACAGTTTTATATCTCGCTTCTATACATTACAAATGAATCTTTTTTTTTACAAAACTCACCATCTTTCCTATGGGCAGTCGTGTTTTGCATGGAAGGAGAGGCTTTGTTCTCTGACACGTCATCGTCGAAACGAAACACGCCGGATTCCGTCAGACCAGGGGAAGGAATGTGGGGACTGGTAGGCACGGATTTTCCCGCTCCCGAATTTGACTGGCCGCACAAATTATTACCAGTGCTGGTTCCTATCGCAGGTGGAGGAACACCTGTTGTTCCACTGCTGCTGCTGGTTGTCGCCGTTCCCAGGAATGCTTTCTTCACTTTGGTCCACTTGGACTGCCTTTGCGACGGCGGAGATTCGTTCAGGGAAATCTAAGAAAAATAAAGAATTTATCAAGACCACGCAATGACTTATTCGCGATCGAAATCGATGATTTGGGAACGCTCCAGTAAAAAAAATTAAATGATTTTATTGGAGTTTGGCTGTTTTCAGTATCATGTCCAATCGCGGTTTTTTTGTTGTTTATTTCCCGCACTCGTTTAGTCAAATTTGACTGTAGAAGTTTTCAGCACGACTGAGCTAAATGAAAAAAATGCTAGTGCTATACTGAAATTTCGTTCACTGCTTCCGGAACAAAATTTAAAAGATTGCTTTTCACGCAAAAAACGCGACTTTATTCCTGCGTTTCAGCACATAGTAAAGAATTTTTAATACGATGGCAAAGTATGAAAATAGTGAGTGAAAGTCCGATGATTCAAAGCAATTAATGGAAGAATTTCAAGATAAGAGGACAAAAATATTTTGAAAAGTGATGGGAAAAAGTGTTTGGCGAAGGTTTTGTTATTTATCTTCGTGTCGGTAGCTAGCAAAAAGACGCTCTCGCAATATACTGTAATGCTGAATTGTATTATCTTACGTCCGGTAAAAATGATTTTCTCAATTGTTTTCAGTCTGAAATGAACGTGTTAACAGAAACGATACAAATGTTAATCCATGAAAGCACAAACATTTTTAACCAAGTCTAAATAGTCCAAATCCACGAATGGTTACAGATAACTTTCAGGAATTTTCAAGTAGAAAATCTCTGAGTAATAGTTTATTAAAGTCCTTTCTCTTTCTTCAGAAGCTAAATCGGACAGTTTGATATACCTATACGAAATAAAACATTTTCGATTTCATGGACATAGCCAAAGAAGAAAAAGCTCGATTTCCAGGATATAATGTACTGCGCCCGGAAAATCCGAAATGATTCAAAAATGATTCAAGGATCGGAATTGCTTCGAAATGAACTGACGAGATACCAACCAAAATTTGCGCATATCGTCTGTAAATCCCAAAAAGCAGCGCATTCGCCTTATTGGCGGTTTTTCAATGGAAAGTTTTCGACGTTTAGTAATTCTTTCATTTCTCAAGCTAATATATTTTCCTGCCGGTTTCTCAATTGATGCTTTGCGCTTTTATCTCTGCAAATAAAACACTAAAATTGGTATGCAAACCAAAGTTCTGAAAATTGAAAATGATCATGTAGGGCGGAAAATCTTCGCATTCGATCAATCAAAACTTCGAAAAGGGTTCATTCAACACTGATGGTTATTGGATAATCGCATCTTTACTGTTGCATCGAAGGAACCATCGAAACAAAACCTACAACTAACTCATCTTAAACCTTTCAGAGAATCCCACCCGAGTTTGAGTCGGAATCCGAAACCAATTCGTCGCTACTGACGCGTAATGACTTGGCGGTCGTTTACAAGTTTGTTTGACAGGCGGAAAATGACATCCGCCGTCGTGGGAAGTTGAAAAGGGCGGGTCAATTACGCTGAAAAATAATTGCCAGACGCAAGACAAAAAAAATGTGAAAAAATGAAATAACAAGCAGTTGGTGCCGGAAAGGATGGATGGATGGATGGATGGATGGAGGGATAGAAAACCTTGGGTTTTGGGCCGTTGCCAGCAGCAGCAACAGGGGCCACGCGTCGGCCGTGATGGTGATGGTGATGCTGTCGACTGGTTCTCTGGTCCCTGGCGGGCTCCGAAATCTTGCGTTCGAACTTATCAGCAGCACTGGCCCCTGTTGTCCCTCCGCCTGCAGAACCTGCACCTGACCTGAGTTGCTTGTCCAACGTGCTTGTGGAGTTGGAATGCGGGAGACGATGAGACGGGGAACCGCCCGAGGGCAAGGAAATCGTGAGTTGAGGCTTGCTGCGACGTCTGACTGCAGCAGCGGTGTTCTCCGGAGGCACGAGGGTTTCGTCATCGCGGGGGTTTCTTGGAATCGGCGAAGTTTTTGAACTGCGTTTTGGTGCAGATGAACTCCTGATGAACAGGATATATTTAATTACATTTTCTACCCTACTTATTTACGTATATACTCGTTCTACTCTCGTTCTTTTTGTTCTATGATAATATCAGTGTACCCCCTTTTTTATGTGCACCTGCCTATTCTAAAAATGGGACAGTATCTTCAAACAAGGTTACCTCATGGGGGATTTGGGGATACCGTACATTTATTTTTCTCTATTCTTACTCGAACAGAATTTACAGTATCTTATAAGACCTCTCCCCCCCCCCTTAAAAAATAACAGCTGAGGCAGTTCCCCGAATTTTAAATTTCCGAAATCCAAACGAAGAGCATTATACGAGTTGGTTCTCTCTGCATCGATCTGGTCTACAATGATTTTCTCTAGATGAAAAAAATTGGGTGTCCCATAGGGGGTACTCTCCCATGTTAATGGGGTTCTCCACAAGGAAATGTTACCTAAAGCAATTTTTTTTTGCTGGCAAGGGAACTCCAAAAGTACAGTACAGTGTATTCATCTAATAAGGGGGTTTTCAATATAGGGGATTTGGCTTCGTTTGGGTAGATTAAACAAACATTGGAAATTTAAACTTTACGAAGTAGAGTCAAACCCCGCATTAGTGCAATCATCTGTTCTGGCACATTTTGTGGCACTAAGCAAGGTTGGCACTAAATCGAGGTTGCTGTACAATGGTAAGGTTTAATTGTGAGTCTCTACTTCAAGCAAAATGAGGTTGTTCACAAATTTTGTTCACAGATATTTGATGCCCCCTGAGTGTTTTTATCAAATAGAAAGCCGCAAGAAAAATTATTTGAAGCTGAAATGCACCATTTTCTTTACGGTATTTCAACATATTTGATTAGAAAAAATATGCTGTATTCGATTTGTATACCCACCTGTCTTGTGTCTGGTAGAAGAGTAGAGCCAATTCTTTAAGCTCAATAAAAGTGTAATTTCAAGTGCCACTATAAGCACAAAGTTCCCAGATGTTCCAATGAAAGTTTCCACTTTATTTGTAAAATTTTCATTGAAGGAAGGTGTCATGCAACAAACACTTTTTTCTACTATTTAAACTAGAAAAAATATCGTTCAAAATAATACTGAGTTTTCTGTGAGTGTGGACATGTAATTCTCAGTGAAACCCCATTCACTTCGCTAAAACAGGGCCTTAATCTCTTCAGTTTTTGTCAGCTGATCATTCAGGACACGTCATTTTTGTGGCACTAAGTGTGTTGGCACTAAATTGGGGTTTCCGTTGAGAAGAAAATGGAGGGACATTTGTTCCTGGGAACTTTGTGGCACTATGTGAGTGTGGCATTAAATCGAGGGTTGACTGTAGTTTTCTCGCGTGGATTCCTTGAACCTGTTGAGTTGGAAATAATGTACCTGCACTAATACTGTAATTGATTTTGAATTCTGCTGAACAGAGAGTCCACCTTTTTTCTGAGTTTCGAGGAAACCTCACGTGTCTTGGAAATTAGTTATATTCCTCCAAATACTGTATTCCCATCTTGGACTGCTATTCCTTAATCTTGGACAATACTGCACTTGAAAAAAAATGTTAACGAGGAAGTTATTGGATTCAACTACTCAGAATGATTATTTTTCTAAAACACTCACCGGGTCTTGGAGGATAAACGTGGGGAACTGGGCGCATCAATGGAAACTGCAACGTCACTTCGCTTGCTACCCCGCGACATCTTGGAAATTCTTCCGTAATCCTTGTCTTTTTCCTGAGACTGTTGTTGTTGCTGCTGCTGTTGTTGCTGCTGCTGCTGTTGTTGTTGATGTTGTTGTTGTTGTTGCTGCTGTAGCTGTTGATGTTGGTGGTGACTGCTGAGGCTGGTTCGCAAACCGGAGTCGTCGTCGGCGCTTTTGATGCCCGGATTTTGTGACGCGTCCCTGTCGCGTTTCCGGAAGCTGTCTTTCCGGTATTGGATCATGCTCTTGACTTTGCCCCATGTACTCGTGCCGCGAGATTTCCGGTCGCTGTCGTGGTGCTTGTTCCGGCGGGCATTGGCGTCGTCGCGGCTGCTGGAGGCGCCTCGCATGGCGGAGCTGCCCGAGTGCCGGCGCCGCTTGCTGCTGCGGTCCTCGTCGGCGGCACTGTCGCTGCTGAGGACGGACCGCTCTCGATATACTCCGAATCTCGCGGACTCTGTCCACATTTAGAAGTTTGGAGACTTTCAGGCGTGAGAACATATTGATTTTCGTCATCATTAGGATATTTAGAAAGGTACACACGAGGGAAAAACCGCGGATCGACGGAGTTGATCTGAAAAATGTGGAACATTTTCTAAACAGAACAACTTGATGATGCGGAAAACACTCTGAATTTCTGAATCATAACAATTGAAAAAATACGGTTAATTAGAGGAAAAGACCGCGAGTCGACGGAGTTGATCAAAAAACGAACGACCATTTTTAAAACTGAACATGAATTTAAAAAGCTATTAGACAAAAAATCGAAATCCTTGGCTCCAGCTGCAATTGAACGTCAAATCAACAAATTCAAAACTCGTACTGTAGATTTGATCTTCAACCTCCAATAATTTCGTGCCGTGATTTCTTCCCAATTTTGACATCGTTAAAAGTACACACAGAAAATTGAAAGACATACTACTTTGCTTAATTTAGGCTTAAGCGAGAGAAATTTTTTTGTGAAACGGAGATGACCAATATAAATAGATAATACTACATTTTACATATTTCCAACGGGATAACAGAGCTAAATATAACACCAACAAAATGTACGTTTGACTATCCCGGTTTTTTCTAATTTTATTCATTGCTGTCGAAAATGCCTCTTATGCGTGGCAAGCTTTTTTTCGAAATCGTCGTTTCCACAAAATCACAGGATATTTCACTGACCCGTACAGTACAGTACTGTAGCTGATTTCTTCGCGGGCTTTCAGAAAGCATGAATGATCGACGGCGCAGTTGAAGAAATGGGGCTTTAAAAATATGCAAGATTCGGACAAGCAATTCTACAATGACGTTACTCAGAAAATTTTGCTATGATCTCAATGTTATAAGAAACATAAAATGTGTTTCATCGAAAAAGTTGAAGATTATTGAGATGCTATTGGCACTTATTTTCCATCATCAACTAGGGACAACGCGACTATTTCGAATTCTTTTTTTTTTCTTTTGTCATGATCATGCAGTAAATATAGTTACAACAATCATATGCAGTTCATAAAAACTCACCAAGCCAATTTGGTCCCCAGTCTGTGTCTTCCGAAGAAGAAGATGAATTGAATGGCGAATAATAAAAACTGTTGTCACATCGGTAATCCGGACTCAAGTCACTCTGGTCGGAATGAGACATTGTCGACGGAACCTGAAGGTGCATCACAGACGGTTTTTGAGTTGACGTTTGTGCAGAATGCTGAGAAGATGAACTTCCTGAAAACCGGAAGAACAACACAAGTAAAAACAGCAACCCTGTCTGATGAAGCGGAAGTCAGAAATACCTCCATGCACAATATTTTACTTGAAGCGAGTTGACGCGTGTGTCAGCTGTCACAAACGTGCGAACGTATTTTGTGAGGAAAAAAAGTAAATCTTTGTACGTGTACGACTAAAATGTGCATTATTGAAAAGACGCAAGAGGGAGCTGGTTGCTTTCTTAATTTTTGAGGGCTGTGATAATTCTGTATCAATCTACAACACCTAAAGGGTAAACAAACAGTCGATCAGATGAAGCTTTTCCGTCGAGTCTTTAGGTACGAGTAAGGTGTACTACTGTTTTTGATGTCTATACAGTCATTTTTTTGAAAATTCCTCAAATATTTTTGTGCACAACTGATGCGTCGGAAGCTAAACGTCTTCGGTGGCATCAAAAGGTACCTTCCTTCTGTCAGTAACGGAAAACTAGTTTTTTTGATAGATAAAAATTCATTTCTAATATTTTTCAAAGTGGAATCACTCGAGTGAATCATAAATAGTTTTACCGAATGGCAGCGAATTATAAGCTCACTTTTATTCTCACGATAGCCTTCCATTATACTGTACTGTAGAGTAATTCAACTGCTGTAAAAAAAACCCCCACTTTCTGACGAGATGTTCAGATAATCATCCAATTTGAGGGAAACTTGAAGACGAAGCACTTCACATAATGCGGATCCGCGTCACAGACCAATTATACAAATTATTCTGATGACCTCCAAAAACTTAGGAAAAAAGGTATAAATACAAGCATGTCCATGGAATCTTCGTAAAAAAAAAAAACGCGAAGAACTCCGTTTTTATCGTTCTTCAATTGATGAGATCGATGGAATTTTTCGTTTGATTCTTCGGGAAATTTCCATTGATAGACCCCTTATCTAAGCACTACAATACTGCAGACTATCATTGCATCAGCGAAAACGTCTTAAAGTCATGAAGAAGTCCGCAGAATATTATTGCCATTTTTTTACTCCTCCGCATCTGAATTAGAAGACCGAAAAAATTTATATGGTGATTCTCGGTGACCAAATGTAGACTTGCGAACTCCTATAAAAAAAACATATTTCGTCCAAAATATGAATGATACTGTGGACATTAATTTATAAGGACATTTAAAATTGACTTTTACCTTGAGTTTTGCCTGTCCGCTGGTCGAGCCCAACTTTCTCCCACTTGAAAGCCTCTTTAACTTTCGCCCACTTCGAAATCTTTCCCTTCGGCGAAGCACCTGAACCCTTGTAACCCCTTCTGGGAACTTCATCAATGCTTCTGCTCCTCCCGCGGTTCCCAGCCTTGAGCCAAGTCATTTTCGATGATCTCGGCTGATTTTTGTTGTTGGTCGCACTGGTCGACTTTTTCTTCCACACATTGCTTTCGTTATTCGCGGTTTCCACGGGCTCTAGTGTTACCGAGGCATCGGGTGTTTCGCATTGAAGCTCTCGTTGCATGTAGTGGAGCATTTTCATGTCTTCCAAATACTGGACTCTTCTTTGAAGAACGACGTTTTGGTCTTTCAGGTCCGTGAGTTGCTCCATGAGGCGACAAAGATTGTCCAAATGGTCCAGTCCCATTTTGGCGGAGTATGTCGTTGATGCGTGACTGGGCCTCGTTGGTTTCTGTTGGCGGAAAAGTTGAGACTGGTTCTGGGGCAATTTTGGCATGGGTGAAGACGCGTCTGGGAATTCCAAGTCGCCGCCTGCCAGCTTCGCTTCGGTGCTTGGTAGTTTTTGATCACCTAGTTTAATGAAAATTGAGGTACTGTATTACGAACGATTTTCACTAGCTTTCGTCCGGCACCGAGTCAAGAGGGCATTTGGGAAAAAAAGGAATTGACAGAACTAAATTCACGTGATATGTTTCGAATTAAAAGCGCAGCAGGCCGTATTAACGAAAAAAAAAACCGGGAATTTTTTTTATCCTCGTGTCTTTTTATTGTATTGATGGATTTTTTCATTCAATAAACATGAAGGATATTTGTTAGCAAAACAGCATTGTTGCACTAAATAGTCTTTTCGTCGTTTTGATTGTTTATTGCAGCAAATGAGCTCTCGAAGAAACTAACTAATCCTCGTGGAAACCCGCTGGGAAAATAATCTACTTTGAAATTGGCCACGTGCAGATGAAAATGTCTGAAAATTTCAGTTACAGTACCTATAACAGTTTAAATTTTTCATTTCACATCCATCAAAAATGGCCAGCAATTTTAATTCCGAAGTTAGTTTCCTCTTCGCATTTGCGTTGAGGGAATGGTTTCATAATTTTTTTCACAGAGAATGAAAATATTTTGCCCTTGAAAAGAATGCCAGAATAATGCCAACTTTTGGTTTACCTGAATAAGCTGTCTTCAAAAAAAATTCGGTGACAGTAAAATGGATGCTTTCAACCAGTTAAAAATCTTCACTTGTGACAATCACACATTCACTCGCATTTGTTATTCATTTCCCCATTCCATCTCTCGTTCGTTTGAAATGATTGATATTGTAATGATGATTGGTTTGTTGTATGTACAGTAAATGGCTTGGAGTTCGTTAGAAAGTTAGCCGTTAAAGAAGCAATTAACCAAGATAAGATAATCCAACTTGGAAAATCCTCATGTGCTCAGGTTTCTTCCCGACAGTATAGTAACTTCGAACGTTATAAACTACCAAATTGACGAATTTTTTTTTATTGTCCACGTGTTAAAATCGTACGACAGCGTGAATCCTTGGTCCAGAAGAAAGTAACGTATAATTATAATGTACAAACTGAATTTAACCTAAATTTTGTGAAATTTGTATGAATATATTTTATGTAGCACGGTACACAAAGTAAGTTTGTAGACAACAACAGTTTTGTGGTACAGTAATTGCTGTTCTGTGCACTAAGTATTTTAATTGATGCTTCAAAAGGTGGTGTTTCGTGTTTTGGCTATTAAGTTGTGCGTAATTAATTATGAATACCGCGGGCTGAAAATGCCTTGATCGAACCTAGGATTACATGGGGATCGAAAGGTTGAACCCACTTCTGAGCTCCTTGAACCCGTCTTTGAGTAAGGCGGGATTTTCGCTGACAGTGACCAGATAATCCATGAAGCTCTGGTCATTTTCCAGAGCCCGTCCCACGATCGCCGTCGACGACCTCGCAATCCCGACAGCAGATGACGACACCGGTTTCGTGCTAAAAACGCCGACCGCGGGTCTCGGATCCGTTGACTCATTCGGTACACGTGCGTCGGCATGTTGTCTGTTGCAGGTGGGCGTCGGTGATTTGTCTTGCGACAAACAGACCTCGTCGTCGAGTCCGACGTCGCTGACGACGACGACGCGCGCATCGTCATCTTGACTCGACCGTCCTACTGTTGGTCGGTCGACATCAGCAACCACCAACATTTGCTCGAGCGGGTCCATTTTGTGCTCAGCACTCGATATCAGAGATTAAAGCTGGATTCGCGCTTGATCATTAAAATGCGAAACGAAAATCAAGTTTGTAAAGCTCAGTTTATTCGGATTTTGTTCAATTGGTAATTGATGCCATCAGGTTGGTTTTTAGTGATGCTCGATATGAAATCATTTAGAGCGTTCCATAAAGTCAGTCTGAAAACATGAAGCCAAAATTCCAGGATGAAATGGTCCTGATCATCACAAAAGGAATGTTCGTAGAATCAAAAAAGGATTCAAACATTCACACTCGCACGTTCATACACTGCGTTGGCATATGATCTGCATAAAATTGACTATGATGCTTTATGTCGCATGTTTGTCAACTCGCGGCGTTATTTAGTAAAATGATGACTAAAATATTTCAAGTTTCACAAATATACCTTGCCGCATGGGAAAATTTACTTGCATTGATAAAGATATTGCATTTCAGCACACATTCTTTCAAATTACAAATATTTTATTTACTGGAAGAGTCGTGATGATGGTATATGTTTTTTGTTTTTGCTGTATAAATACAGGGTACGAGTAGTATTTATATCCTTGGACTATGAATTTATATTCGTTCCGATTCACAATTTGAAGTTTTTTTCTTCATTTTTGAATTTTCTGTACATTGTTTTCTGCTAAATTTAATATTTTAGTCACAACGCGAAGAAGCTGTCGCGTAGTTCATTCTTTTGGATTCAAAAGTTAGATTACATTTTTTGTTATACAATTTTTCCGACTTTTTCGTTGTTAGTGCTAATAATTTATTTTGGGACTTCGGTAATTTTTCTTACAACGAAAAAAGCCAGCACATTACGAACATATTAGACATTTTATCATTTTATAAATTTTAGATCAGGTTATCTTTTTGGAACGCGACGTAAAATATCTGCTCGTCCTGCCGAAAAAAAAAACAAAGTGCACAGCTTAGTACATTATTTGCGCAATTAAGTGTGTGATGAACCCTGTCGTGTTGAGATAGAGCAAAGAGGAACAGCACACAGTGAACTAAATTAGCTGTTCGGAGACCTTCTGTACCCAGACCCATGGACCTCAGCGAAAGAATGATTAATGAACACGTATTATTGAGTTTCTCTCGCGACGCGAGGAATCTCATTTAATTATTTGTCCCGTTGGTAGGGTTACGATTTTGGGAATCAAACAAACGAAAGAAGAGTGCTACAGGAACAAGCCGTTTGCTGGGCTGATGCCAGGTTCTTGGGCTGATGCCAGGTTCAGGGAGAAGTTCGGGAATTTCCGTTCCATTCCTATTTTAATTCTGGTTCCTTCTCGCCGAAGTAACGCTAGTTTTAAAGCAAGGAAAGCATAGGATTCTTCTTCTTCTTATTCCGTCACCCAGTTTTTATCTCTATAGTCTTTGCTTCTGCCTCGCAAATTCGAAAACGGAACTTCGTGGAATGACAGAGAAGCTTCCTTCCGCGACAGCATTCCGCGCGCAAAAAAACAAAAAACAAAATAGTTCGCTAACAAAATGCGAAAACATGTATGGATGTCGAACTTTTCTGAGAAAGACAGTCTTGCTTTTTTTCATCAATGAAAATGCTAATCGTGCGCCAGCTCCAGGAAAATGTATGTTGGAAACTTCAATCTCTTCGGATGAGCGCCGCAAATTCCCGCATTTTAAATGTGTTGTTATAGAAGTCAACAAGTTTATTAATTTTAATATGCCGGCAATACCTTGCTGACATTCAAGGTGAACCAGGAAAAAATTCTCTTGAAAGTCGTCATCGGATTTGTAGGTCACAGACCTTCTGAAAGTAGCGCAAAGACAACACCTTTTCGCGATGCAGCAAGAAAACTGGGTCGATGCTAATTTTAACTTTGGGCCGGAAGAAACAAATGTAGTAAATACTACGTATCCTTCAACATTGAGCAAAAATGATGCGCCAAAAGCCACCCTTTGTTTTGTAAAATGGTGTGTAAACCACGCAGATATTTACGGTGTCTTCTCGTCTATCTCATCTTGAATGGAAGCAATGCTTCGCAGCCTCATGCAACTAGTGCCAAAGAGCCAAAAAGTTGACAACCTGTCTTCATTAGTGTCGGCGAAGGTTGTTCAGGCACGGATTTCGAACAGGAATTCAAGTTTGGAAGCAGAAAATTCAAGTTATGAATCTAAAGGATGCAAGAAGAACTGATTAAAAAACTGCTCTGTAAGAAACAAAAGGGGGAGAACCTCTCACTCACAAAAAATAACTGTTTGGGTGTGACACTTGTTTTTGCACATGCTCCCCTTCATTGTAAAGCATACAACGTTACATGATATGCTCTGAAAAATCAAAGAAGCAGCCAAAATTCAGTCCTTCACTCAGTGGTAAGCATGTAGCGTCACGCGAAACCCACATTTGTAAAGATACATTTTTTCCAGAATATTCTCTCGGTGCCATAATTACTGATTACTTGTGTCAGTATTTTCATTTCAAGCATTTCAGCCCTTTTATCTCTGAATTAAAGCATTTTCAAGTAAACCACGCAGATATTTACGGTGTCTTCTCGTCTATCTCATCTTGAATGGAAGCAATGCTTCGCAGCCTCATGCAACTAGTGCCAAAGAGCCAAAAAGTTGACAACCTGTCTTCATTAGTGTCGGCGAATGTTGTTCAGGCACGGATTTTGAACAGGAATTCAAGTTTGGAAGCAGAAAATTCAAGTTATGAATCTAAAGGATGCAAGAAGAACCGATTAAAAAACTGCTCTGTAAGAAACAAAAGGGGGAGAACCTCTCACTCACAAAAAATAACTGTTTGGGTGTGACACTCGTTTTTGCACATGCTCCCCTTCATTGTAAAGCATACAACATTACATGATATGCTCTGAAAAATCAAAGAAGCGGCCAAAATTCAGTCCTTCACTCAGTGGTAACATGTAGCGTCACGCGAAACCCACATTTGTAAAGATACATTTTTTCCAGAATATTCTCTCGGTGCCATAATTACTGATTACTCGTGTCAGTATTTTCATTTCAAGCATTTCAGCCCTTTTATCTCTGAATTAAAGCATTTTCAATATATGATGAAACATTTTATTCGTTCACCTATAAGGATGAGTCAAAATTTCCTGATATTTTTTTTTTGTTGTGGAAGGACATCTTTTAAAAAAATTCAGAAAGCATTTGGCTGTTCCTATGTTCCTTCCTTTTTCGAACACAAATTTCTTATGAGATATTTCCTTAAATAATTTTATGTAATTCTGAAAATATTAACAATAAGCATTTAAGCGAGGTGAAATTGTAAATGATATATTTGCAGGTGGCCGAATAAAACACTTTCAAAGAATACCCTTTTCCAACTTCAGCATAGGCGCAGGTTGCTGGATTTATTCTGGTGAAAATTCCCTTCACAATCAATTTTTTATTCACTTACATGAATCCACCAACTGCATTTTTTTTTGCATGTCTCGAGAATGCAACCTTCTTTTTCACAGGAAACTTTAGCACGTGCTGTTTCGCGGGCCGAAACACAACTGCGGAAGTTGGGTGTAGGGTAGAGATGCGGAATGTTCACCCAGGAAAACTTCCTGCACTTCAAATCAGCGTCAGACAACCCATAGGTCAAAACCCAAGGGCCCACCAACCCATTGAATACACAATTACATTACCTTATATATCCAACTTTTTTTTTCCATTGAAATCATAGCTTTGCAGCAATCATTCTCGCATTTTTTTTCTTGTTGCATTGCTTGGAGATTTGAAGAATTGTGTCAATTAAAAAAAGGCTCTATTTCTGTGCCTCATTTTCAAAGAATTTTACTGTATTTACTGGAGTAACAGATGCACCTTTTTTCAGAATCCAGAGGAAAAAGGGGGTTCACGTAAAAGGAAATTAATAATTCTTCAAAGTTTTGGAAGTTCAGGTGTGCATTATATTTTACTCGAATGGGATATTTCTGACAAATTTTAACAGAGGAACTTATCACGGTATTATAGAAATCATTTAAATTACTCAAATGCTGAATCAGTTCATGCGTAAATTCAAATTCAAGTTTTCTAATTTTTGAAATATTGAATTTTCAGAGTCAATAAAAATGCGGTTCGCGTTTTACTGGGAAATGCAATTTTATTTAAACAAAATTGATTAAAAAACGCTTGTGTTTTTCTTCCTGGAAGGTGCATTATAAAGCGCATACTCAACTGAATTCTGTAAATCCGGTGTTGGTACGTTTTATTTTACGGTGAACAATATTACAGCCTTCCAGAAAATGGGCGGTTACTTACAGCAATTCCGCAGCGTTACTCGAGATTTGATTATGATGAACATCAGAAACTCCCTATATTGCCTTATCTAACATATTTTTGGTGCGCTAGAATTGTAGGTGATATTTTGGCACTGATTTGTCTAGGTGCAGACTGCAGAGGCAAAAAGCACTGAATTCTGTCCAAGGCTGAAATGTCCCCAGTGCTGAACTTGGACCCCAGGCCAAATAAATGTGAAGTCACCACAACGTTGACATTGTGCTCAGATAGACAGACAACGTGCAGTTTTTTGAACTTGAAATTTTCACCAAACAGATTTGCTTCACAGTGCAATATTGAATACAAAATTGCGCCTTGCAGTTTTTATGGGTTTACAAGAACTCCAGAGTAGACTTGACAGAAGAGGGCAGCTGTGACCAAAGGCACTGCATCAAATGCAAAGAAGGTACAGAAATTAAGACTGCATGCCTATTTAAGATTGAATTATGGTGAGAATGGCAATTAAGAAGTACAGGAACAACATGCAGCAATTGGTAGGTGCGCAACCTAACCCCAGGATCTCTCTTCCTAAAAAATTCGCAAAGTATGCTTTGCGGCCAATTCAAATGCACTCACACAAGCAAATTCAAGTGTGCATTTGGAGTGGACAAAGTAGGCCAACAATGTTTGCAAGACATAAAGTAATTGTTGATCACAATTACAATGTTGCAGTACCAAGATTTTTGCTTGGTTGGGATACTGGGAAGACTATGTCAGTGGTAGTGTGGGTTAGGGATAATATGCCCTTCCCAAAAAAAGCATGTGACTGTCTCCCCTCTTCCCAGGAAGGAATTGTGTTTATTTCCACGAATTAAAACTGACAAAGGTATCCAATTGTCAGAAAGTATGCTGACCAATGCTGCATTGATCCTCAAACATAATTGTGAATGTTTTGCAGGAAGGAGAAAAGTGTTCTCACATTTGCCTTCTTCTTTTGCTATAGATATTGCAATTTTGTGCATGCCTTAACGTTTTTAGCGATCCCTGACTCCATCAAGGGCGATATAATTAGGTCTTTGGTTAGATAAGTAACTGATTCTTGGTGCAGTTGCCAAGGATTGATTTCTTTGCATGTTTCCCAGGCCCTTTTTGAGGATCTGACATTCAAGGTGAACCAGGAAAAAATTCTCTTGAAAGTCGTCATTGGATTTGTAGGTCACAGACCTTCTGAAAGTAGTGCGAAGACAACACCTTTTCGCGACGCAGCAAGAAAACTGGGTCGATGCTAATTTTAACTTTGGGCCGGAAGAAACAAATGTAGTAAATACTACGTATCCTTCAACATTGAGCAAAAATGATGCGCCAAGAGAAAAGTGTTCTCACATTTGCCTTCTTCTTTTGCTATAGATATTGCAATTTTGTGCATGCCTTAACGTTTTTAGCGATCCCTGACTCCATCAAGGGCGATATAATTAGGTCTTTGGTTAGATAAGCAACTGATTCTTGGTGCAGTTGCCAAGGATTGATTTCTTTGCATGTTTCCCAGGCCCTTTTTGAGGAGGAAGAGAAAGAATTTCTACTCCTCATAAGAGGTTCATTTGCTTTTGTTTTGCTGTCATTCCTTTTGCCAGCAATTTATTGCCAGCTTTGGAGTAAATTCTTGCAGTGACAGCTGCAATTTTGTTCCGTTGTAACATTTTTTTCTTACAGAAACCAGGCTACCCACCAATAAAACAATGGGAGGAAAATTGAGACAAGATTTGAATTTCAACTTGAATATTGCAATGACCAAAGTGAGAAAACGTTTTCAGAATTCTTCCGCTTAGAGTGACCTCTGATTGCATTGTACGAAAGCAATGCAGAGGGGAATCGGGAAGAATCATCTAGAGTGCGCGTGTTGATTGCGGTTGGTCTTCGCATTTGCTTCTTTCTTCGTTTATCTGATTTCTCGACATATTCCATTAAAACAGTACGTGAACACTACGCAGTCGACATGACCTTAGACGCTCTCACATTTCAAAATTAAAACTTCGGCAAAATGCATTTCAGAATACACCGGTGAAGAATAACAAATCAGGTAAAGGTTCATCACGTTTCATAAGCATTCATATTTTGGAAGTTGTTTATTTTATTCGAACGCGTGATCTCTGATCAGTGCTGAGTTGTATGTTAGAATTTATTTCCACATTCCACTACCTCCAGCTGATTTGGCCCGTTTTGCATTGAAGGGTGTGCAGATATCCAAAATATTAATCCATATGAAATGCGACGAACCTTTACTTAATTTTTCATTCTTATAACCGATGTATTCTGAAATAAATTTTGTCAAAGCTGTAATTTTCAACAGTGGGAGAGTTTATGAAAAGGTCAGGCTTACTGCATATTTATTGTTCATCATGGATGAGTGAATGCAATTTTGCTGTCAACAGCTTGCTCTCACAAAAGCCAAACTAGTAAGTTCAAGGTCGTCTATGCTGCCTTTAACTTTTTTTAGTTCATCGTTTCGAAGCTGGAATTATTTTTTACCCAGATCGATTCATTCCGACATTGAACTAGAAACGGTAGCTGATAAGGGTATCACTTGTCTGACTTGTTTTGCTACTATATCTGTATACTGTACACTTTCGATTCACGAAATCCCAACCGATGTTTCAAGGTTCACATGTTTTCACTACATAGAATCCATCGAATATTTTTCGCAAAGGAAAATTCGACGAGTGATAACTTCAATTGCCGCTTAAGCCATTGCTTCTAGTACTTACAATAAATGAAGAAACTGAATAATTTTCATGTCGCAGAAATACACTTTTTCGTCGACGAGATTCTTTCACAACAAGACACGCATGCAAAATATCATCCCGATCATTCCTTTGGAATACATTATTTTTCATTTAAAAGATTCAGCATAATTATTTAGCCCTCTCGTTTTCTCAACCAATATCGAACGGGTGAGGACGATATATTCTTAATACATTTTCCTGTGATTCAGTTGAATGTAAGTGCTTCACAATCTCCTCTGTGATTTTTTTTTCAAAATTATGACAGTAAAAAATTAAGATTACAGGCGTGATTAGGTAAACCAGTACCGTAGGCTTCTTCGGGAATTAAAAAAGTTTTGAATGACTTCCTGAGTCGAGTGGAGATATTGCATGATTCAATTTATCTCAAATTGCGTGGCACTTGCAGAAGAGATTCCTTTTCTTTCATATACTGTATTATGCAGCTGAGACGTAATAGGCATTTAAACTAAGAATACGATTAGGTCGATCACAGTAATTAAATCAATACACAGCGAGCAAACAAATGAACAAAACAAAAACTTGGAACTCGATGTACGGATACATCACGGAACAATCGCTCATGTTTCGAGTTGATGTTGATCTCGATATACTGTAGATCGATATCACCAGCCAGTTTGAACTCCGAACTGATCACAGATAAAAAATCCCAATATTTACAAGCAAACGGGTCCTAAATTCGTAACTTCCACGTCCTGAATTCCAAGCCCTTGGTTGGAAAAAGCCATTCTTTTTCCATTTTTTATTAGCAAAATAGAGGTCTCTCACGTGCTTAACGTTATAAGTGCTCGGTTCAAACCTCCATTGAATGAAAAAAAAATTACTTCTTCGGGTACCGACGCTAGATTAGCCAACCCATTTAAGCATCCGCCGACATTAGAATCAGGAATCATAAAAATTGAATTTTAAGAACGATTAATCAATCATCTTGGCCTCGATAACCGATCGAATTTTGTGATCATGATACAAAAGCCATGTCCAAGTTTTAGTTTGTATGACTCACAGCGATACACGGAATGTTTCTTTTTTTCAAATGCGTACTGAATAACACAACCTTATAGGTTTGCTTTCAATGCGCCTAATCAGTGTACAGTATAAAGCAAATCATAGAACCAAAAAGTAACTCATCAGAAAACAGCGATGAATCGCTGTCATATGAACACTCAATCAACCTCGGGGAATTCCTCAGAAACTCTTCTGTCGACCGTTGATGAATTCCTGGAATACTGGAAAATGTCGACTTCCCGAGCTTTACATTGGTTTTTGAGAAAACATGGAATCTCAGTGGAATCACTTGAAATCCACCGTAGCGTTGGTCGTGAAATCTTCGATCATCTGGATGACGCATTTGTACAGGAATGCATATTGTTCCTGGTACAGCATATAGAAATTTGAACGATTAGTTCAGGGACATGATGAGTCGTACATATATTTGGAATATGAAAAATTAATAATTCACATATGGGATTGTATGAACCAGGAAAAAAAAAGGGAATGCATAGCAGCTCAGCGGCAGAATTTTTTGAAGGAATCCTTTTGTCAATCGAAGTGAAAATCAATAGTTACCCCGAAGTGCTCGGGAACACAAGAGGATGTAACCGAATCGTCTCGTGCTTTTTCTTACGAATTTAGCAAAACCGAATGAAAAGTGTTTTATCCAGAGGCTCGAAAAGCCTCATCACGGCTTGATCAAATCATACAAAAATGCTCGAAGTACTTCGTCAAATGCTGAACTGCTCGTACAACAAGATATCCCTTGAGTTACTATAATGGAGGAAATCCTGCGAAAGAACACCCGATATTAAGCCGAAAATCGGTCGAATCATCCGCATTTTTTTCTGTATAAGAAAAGCTCCGTTTTAGAGAAGGGAATAATTGCAAAAATACTTCACTGGTGTCTGTACAAGATGAACTCGACATTGGCGCAGACTGTGAATCGTTCCTGGAATATCCACAGATTTCTTTGCTTTGTACTGTTGCCGTAATCTGTCCAAAGCTATGACAACTCCTGTTCTCCCTGTTCCAGCACTGCGTTGTCGAAAAAAAATCATAATAAAAAATGAGTAGATCAACATCCTTTACAATTCTTTTAGCTCTATAGGATGCAACGATTTCGACTCGATAATGTCATAATCACCTGCAATGAACTAAAATCGGCGGTTTCCGTCCGTCGGCTTTAACATGGTAATCGTTCTGCTGTCGAACAGCGACCGCGAAGTCGTTTATAGGTCTTGTGTCCTCAGGAACTCCAACTGTTGGCCATTCTTCGAATTGCAGTTGGGTCACCGATCTCGTCTCCGTCCCCTTTTCATTGTTGAAAAAATGCATGGGACTCGATGATACAATATTTGCATTCAGAAATTTGAAAAAGGACGCGTTCCGTTCAAGAATACTATTTGAAACTCTATATCTGTAGGGTTTTTTTTCTGCTTCTGCGAATAACGAAATTTAGCTCGCACCTTCTCCATGACAAACACTCTGACAGTGTGTTGGCCGGATCCGGTTTTGATGTTGTTGTCCTCCATTTTGTATACTGTCAGGGAATCAAATCTCATCGGCAGCTCCAATTTCGGCCAGTATTGAAACCCAGGCGGAATTTGTTCCTGTGAATGTTTCATTTGCGTTAAAAAGTGTGTGCTCAAAAATTATGAATACAAGTCTCCCTTCTTTATTTTAGGAGAGTTTTTCGACATTTTCTCAGCTGTAAATCGCTTTCGCATTCATGAGACGGCCTTCTGTATAATTAATTCAAGATTTCAAAAATACGCTCGCACGTACTGAAACTTCCAGTTATTTACGCTTCACTCAAACTTGCATTGATCTCGAGCATTTTCTTGCGTCAAACGAACTTTTCAATTATCTATTATAATAACATATTGATAATTTGATATGAACATGGTTGAATTTGGCATGGAAGGTAATTACTTATGAAATCGTTCCCGTTGGACGCGGATAACTCTGCAGGTGCATGATTGGTGCTTCGGAAATCAATTTATGCTCGTATCAGTGAAGCACAAAAATATCTACCTCTCCATCAGCAAAATTCGCCATCATTCCCCTTATCGCTCAGTGAAGAAAGGAAAATATAATATACCGGTATTTCTAAAATTAAACGAATTCAACTCCCAAGAATCAAAAGATTTTTCTTGAATAAATCCAGAAACCTCCCGTCACGACGAAAAACCCGATCCTTTTTCTTCCGTTCGAGGATCAATCGGGGTTCAAATCCCCAAAATACTGTACTGTAATGCTGATTCGCGTGACGTGACTGGGTAACTATTTTTATTATTATTTTCTCTTCAGCCTTACCTCGGTTACGCCCTTCGTCGCTGGCACAACCATGGCTATGGTCGTGATCTCTTCTTGCCAAACCATGAGCCAAAAATCGCGGATAGTCTCGGATTTCGGCGCCTGCGTTGCTATGTACTCCTTCGCGTGCGTCTCGCCCTGTGGCACAACAATAAACCATCAACCATATAGCAAGAGAGTACCGTACTCGTATATCGCGCTCCAGTTCTGATTACACAAGTCCGAAGGGAAACCGCCCCCGAAAAAATGCGGGGGTTTCGCCCACCTCAATAAATGGACTAGGTACGAAGTCATTGCACACAAAAAAAATGGGATTGAGCTTATTTCTCGGTTGCTTTTCTTGCTTACGAGTTTTTATAATGCGTTGAAAATTGAGAAAAACTTTCGCAAACGGGTTCTGAGATTTTAAAGCAGATTCGAAATGCATCACATCGAAACAATGCTGTTTTTAGAAAATTTGAATGAACCATCTACACTCTTAAGTTCATCTTGAAAGAGCTCGATGGCGTCTGAAACTATAGGGTTGGTTTATCAGTTTTTTTCAATTCCCTGCGTCATTCTACAGGAAGTCTGGAGACGCAAATTCATTCAACTTAGTACACTAAGCAATTCCCGACGACTATTTTGATCTGTGTAATAGTTTAAATAGATGACAGACAATTGACATTTGATGAGTTACCCAACACTGTCTGGAAAGAAGGTTTGGAAAAAACATGACGGAATTACAAGGAAACGAACTGATGAACTTTCCGGCATTCGAAGTACAGTATCACCAAATATATAAGATAATACAAATCTCTTATATTACCGATCACCTAAGGCAAGGAAACATTTTTCCAAGAAAAATCTGTCCTGGTCTCGACAAAATGTAATATTGTGGTGATGTGAACATGCTCTATGAAGGCCTGAAGAATATTCATAGGTAAAAAATTTGCCCAGGTTAGGGCAAACATCGAATTTTATTCGACACAAGAGTGATTCCAAGGGATTTCGATTACGACTCTTGGCTACGAGACAATCCTAATTTAGATGCATCAGCAAAACTCTCGAGAAATAATTCATCGCGAATCCGTTCTTCAATGCGGGATGAACGGAAGGATGAAGAAATGCGCATTTTACATCCATGGGCATGGCTTTTGAAAATAATTGCGAATGAAATATATTTGTAATTTTCAAAAGAAGGAAAATAACTCCACTCACCTGCACGTATGAAGCATTGATGTAGTCGTTTTCCGCGTCCGTCAGTCTCACTCTAGTTTTCTCAACTGCAAAAGAAAATGATTTCATTCCTGATAACTTTGTAGATATTGAAATTTTGAAATAAATTGGAAAGATTTAATAATCCGAGCAGCAGCTGTTGAGTGGGATACTAACGGATTTTATCAATTCCATGTCCCGAATGTGCATCGGAGGAATGAAACGGAATTATGTTCCATTGATTTCGCAAAAGTTCGATGACTTTTCTACTGTAAGTTTTTCGAATGCTTTCTGATTTAGAATAATGTGCAAAAATCTGCATCACGTACAGCGGATTTTTCTTGGAGGGCCTTTTATTCTTTCATTGAACGCGGCCGGTTTTTTTTCCCCGCGCTGGTTTACATAAATGAATATTCATTGAAATAATCTCACTTAAAAGCTAATCAAAATTCGATTGCTGAAGTTTATTTCAAATTATCACAGGTCCAGCTTTTGGAACGACTTCCGACATGTACCGCAGAATTGAAACCGGACGATTTTCGAATGCGGAAACCGTGTCTTTGGTCACGGCTTGCCACGAAGGCCACGATCTCCGAAAAACATAATGTATGCCAAGGTCTCGGTTAATTCGGATCAGACGATTCATCCCCTCCTCCACACGGACTTCCTACTCAGACAAGTCCAGCTCAATTTGTCTAATTAAATTTGTTTCGCACTGGCGAATATTCTGAATTATATTTCGGTCCACTCGTTCAAAAGCATTCATTTCAACATGGTTTCCCTTTCTCATCAAAAACGTATTCTTAATTTCGATCCTTGAATTTGAAAAGCGAAGAAATCGCACAAAATCTTCGCAATCGTTTTTAGGGTACCTTAGCATAATATTCAAGATTTTAGCTTTCCCTGCGAATTTTATGTTTTTTTTAGACGTCAGAGTTATGCACAATTGAAGGAAGTGAAAGGTCCGGTGTTTTCTGCGATGACCATCATGTTGTCATGAGAATAAAACCTCCAATAAAATTTTATAGCAAGAGGCTTTTCTGATTAGACTAAAAATAATAATATTAACGTGTCCTAGGTCGAAATTGAAATTACTTTTTTGCAATTTTCAAGCAAGAACATTTCAGGTTCTGCAGTTTGAATCGATGGCGAGTGTGAAAGCGTACTCTATCCGTGCGTCAAAAGCAACCTGGACATTCGTACTCGCAGAGTTTCATTGTTCAATATTCTAAAATGCCGGATTATCCAGCTATGATCATTATAAATAATACTTCGCTCACAAGGCAGCACGTTGACGAATCGGTTCTTCGAAAGGCTCGTCCTTGCAAAGGCGCGTTCGTTGGCACTCAGCTTCGGTCCTTGCGTGCACAGCAAGTCAAATTCTTCCCGGACTTCGCCGGAATCCAACTTTCGTTTGATTTCATACACATCGTCCACTTCGTGCGCCAAATTGTCCTCCCCGTGTATTTGCGCGTCTTTCACCATGGACGATGACGTGTCACGGCTCGCTCTCGCCGGCTGCGTCGGTTTTGCTCGGGCGTACCTGTTTTTCGCGCAAAAACCGATAAACAAAGGATAACAAAATACGTAGTATCAAACTCGATACGTTGGAAACTGTAGAAAGAAAAAAAACATGTGTTCGAAAACAGATGTGAGTAGTCACACAAAGACGGAGCCAATGGCAGTTTTAAGGAATTCCGCAGTCACTGGACACGAAATCACAAAATGAGCCACTCGACCATAAAGCAACTGCAAGACGATTTTTCTAAACGCATAAAGACTTGTTGAGATGCAGATGTCCATTATTTTCATCACCTATCGTTTTAGAAGGTGTTTCGCTGATTTTAGTGATGGGGAAAATTGGTGAGAAAGTAACTATGATTAGTTAGAAACTATAGGAACGTTGGAAGTACGCATTTTTCTGTTCTCTTGGAGAAGGAAAGTCAATCTTAACTTCAATTGTATTTGCTGGGCATTAAATCACCTGAAATATTAGGACCGAGTTCGTAAATAAAAATACTTCAAACAGTTTCGCAAGAAAATAAAACCGCGCTGATTGCTTGAGAAGGTGAACAAAAAAGCTAAAATATAACAATCAAGAGGAACTTCGAATGTATGAAACAGCTACTTTGTGAAAGGTGGTGCTGAGATTACGTCAATTGACATTTTAATGATCAAATGAAGTAAATTTACATAGACGCACTACGAAGAGAGAAGAATGCGTGTGTAGGCATGTGATAATTAATTTGACATGGCTTATTTTACAGATTTGTGACTTGAAACACGCATACCATTTTTCAGCACATTCGCTTATAAAATTCAATGCACTTTCGAACCTATAATTTTCAATAATGACCTTACACAAATCGGGGTTGCACAAGAAATTTTTCCTGCTGAAAAAATGGCGTTCAAGCTCCTTTCGTGAAACGTATATAGGAGCTTGAAAATTTTTTTTAGATCCAGCATTCGAAGAAAGTCTTTTGCGATAATTAATTCGAAATTGCAAACTTATTGCTTTTTTGGCATAAAGCACATACGCCGGCATCAGTCGGTTCGCTTTTACAATTCGCTACGTTTCTGAACCTATGACCTTCAATCGTTTAAGACCTCACACAAATGGAGATAGAAAAACCTTTCTTCTTGAAAAAAAGTTGAACTATCTTCCGCAAATCGCGGGAACTTGCAATTTTCTTTAGAATCCGGTATTAGAAGAAAATTTTTGTGCGATTCGAAATTGCGTATACTACTGATTTTTATCATAACGCACACATGCGCCAGTTTTCAGATACGCTTTCAACTTTCCATACATTTTTGAACCTATGATTTTCAATAATTTATGACTATATACAGTATAATAAAAATTTTGAACTAATTCTCGTTGGAACTTCCCAATTTGAAGGGAAGTATAAACCCGTTTGAACTGATAGCCGGACAAATCTTTAAAGCTTGAACGAGAAAAAAAAATCCCATGCAAAAAACAGTGCCACAAAACACGTGCAGGACTCTTTCTTTTTTTTTGGCGCCGAAAGGGAAAGGCGAAGTGTTTGAATGCTTGCTAGGTGATGAATTTGCACAACACGGACGCACGCAAACACTCTCAAAGTAAGTGTCAGTATAGTGCAAACGTCGGCGAAATTCGTTCGCCGCTCGGCCCGTCATTTCGTCATCGCCCTTTCAGCAAAGCCACATACGACATATACAGGTATGTATATACTGTACATACCAACCATCGGCGCGGACGAAACATCACTCACCCAAACTGGCTGCTCTGCGTTCTTCCCATCCCACTGAGGCGCATTTTCATGGGCTCATTCATGCGTCTGCATGCACATTCATATTCGATCCAGCATGAAGAGGGAAAAGCGAAGAAGTTTACTCAGAATATTTAATGATTCGAGATTATTTAGGTTGTTTCATGATTTTTGAGACGTTTCGATCATAGATCCAAACCAAGTTTCAACAATTTCAATTTTTTCTCACTCGCATAGCCCCATTATTTGGCAACACTTAATTGCTGTTCAGCATACTCCCCACCAATTTCAATTTTTTTCATGCGTGAATACGTCGAATGTCCCTGAAGTGTGTCCAAATGGAGTGGGTTTTTTCGAGTAATTTATTTTTCAATTTCAAACTCCGTTGGACTTGGATCGCCTTTAAAAAGTGTCAAAACCTATGAATCAACCCTTATATATGCTTTAGGAAAATTCGCTGCCTTCCTTCAGTTTCGACACCGAGATGAGCAACATTTTCTCATTTTGTTCCTAAATGATGAACGAAAGCTAAAAAATTCATCATGGGCTTTATTCTTGAATAAATTGTCAATAATCGAATCGAATGTTCCAAATGTGTGTGGAAATAAACAAGCTCTGAGTTTCCATCATCGCACAGCATTAAATAAGTAAATCAAAGCACTGTCCCATTCCTTATTTAGTTAAAATCTCCAGACACGAAATGATTCTGAAGTATTTTTACGAAAGAATTCGTAGTAAAATGTTGTGAAGAGGAACCTCTGATGTACTGTACATTCATATGGTTCCAGTTCAAAGAGGGGAAAACATGCATCATATATCTTATTCAGAGGCTCTGATTGAGACTTACTTGTTCGATATTATATACTGATTAAAACCAGAAGCGAAGATGACTAAAACTATTCAATGATTCGAGATTATATATTCTCTAGAAAAAACCGCGACCTTTCTTTCACGACACAGAGATGAAAAACATATTCCGATTTCATTCCCCAATGATGAAGAAAAGCTACAAGATTCATCGTCTTCGTCATTCTGTAATACTGTGTCAAAAAAATTGATTTATAAGTTCTGATCTATCAATGAGGATAAACATGAAGTTTCAATCATCGTACAACAAAATACTGTTGCATTTATTTAGTGGAAACTTCCAGATGCAAAATGTGTCATGATTATTTTTAAAGGAGTGCTTACGCTGGCATAAAGAAATCACAGTTGAATAGTTTTACAGTGGATCCTGTCATCAACTACGAATGTGATAATTGATTAATGACTTACATATCTCAAGAATACAGTAATTGAGACCAAGAGGTCGAAAACAGTTTCTTGAGGTCATTTGATGCCTCAATTCACTTTCAATTTCATGGTCCTATTTTAATTTCGTAATTGGTAAGGAATTGTTATGAATCCTCAAGAGAATCCGAAGAAATTAAAATTGAAAATTTTTGATGATTCGTGATTATTTTCTTATTCGAGAGACGACGTAGTGCAGATCAATAATCTATTCAACTGTGCCAAATCCCATTTCATTAAAAAAAAAACCTGCTGAATCAAAGATACGCCTTTATTCTGATGAATAGGTCGTAAAAATAATGTTGGCAGTTTTCCGTCCATCCATGGAGATATAAAGCATATTTTAAATACACCATAAATCTTTTCAAATCAATCCAAACTGATGCTCTATCTTGATGAGCAGATTTTTCCTTGAAAATGAAAAACGCATCAAGCATTCATTTCTTTTCATCGCAAAGGAAATTGGTAAAAAGTACGGAGAGAAAAGAGCAAACACGCCGACTCGACTGGCAATGTTTTTCTTTCCCTCACTCACTTTTATTCCCACATCTCAGTGTCGAACCCTTTCTCAAATTTTCGAGCTTCACACGGAGCTGTTCGATTAAAACGGACATGCTGATAGTGAGAAAAACCGAGCTTTCTTCTTCCAACTTCTTCGTGACTTCGTGAGACAGTAGGGAAAATATGTTCCTTTAGATTTCTCTTCCTTCAAAAAAGTGTTCACCATTTAATCCCTATATAGACTCATCGTCGTTTCTATGAATCGAAAGAAAATGTCGGAGAACGCGGCCCACTATGTTTGTAGAACATCGTCGCGCAGAGGAAAATTTCTAGTATTTGTCGTCTGTCGCCGACGGGGTTTTCGGCACGCACAAATTTCGCCAGCTGAATTTTGATTAATTTCGAAATAAAAGCAAATCTTTCTGAAAAAAGTACGTACTGCAGGTTACTCTCTCCCGAATCATTCCCCACATTCCGAAGAATCAAGTCCCAGAATCGGTGGTATTTATTCAACAGCGGAGTCATTCGAATCATAGGGAGTACAGTAAAAAACATTTTATTTCTTCTAAATAAAGATGACGATATTTTTCATTTTTCGGATCATTGATCATTTTTCAATGCCATATTGCGTTGAATATTGCATTTTCCACAACTGTCGATGTACAATTTCCAAGTGAGCATGAGGACGATTACGGATTGCTATAAAGTTAAATGTTTGCGAATTGAAATGACATGCAAATGGGTCATATTTGAATAAGGTACAAAAACTGAACAGAAGAGAAAATAACATATTCACGGCTATTTGTCAGCAAACGCCAAGACTGTGAGGTAAAGTTTGCCTAACGGGACTGGTTTGATGAAGAAGAAGAAATATTTTTCCAATCGCTCGGAAGAAATTGGCTTCGACATTTTCTTGGCATGCACATAACCCGTGCAGCTTGGGAAGAAAAAGGGCATGCCCATAGGCAAATGGAAAAAATAAAATTCGTTTGTTTTTCACGCCTGACTTTCCCCATGAAAAATATAAGCCAAAGAATGTCTTGGCAACACGCGTTAAATTTTTTTTCTCGTCAGGTTGATTATTTATAAACACAACCGGCTTTTAAATATTTCTTAAGCGAAGAAAAGCTATAGTTTTCATTCCATCAGCATTCGAAATATCTGTTAACTGCTGGTAGTTTAAAACGAATACTTTTAATTTCAAGCAACCTAATGAAATTAAATCCTCGCATTTACCCATTAAATTTTCTCCAGAATTCCACTTCGAACGTCAATAAAGTGAACAACCCTGACGAGGATACGGAATATTTTGAGGCATAAGCATTAATAATACAAATCACATTTATCTACATTTTAGAACTGTCAGGAAAACCAGGCTAATGTACATAGAAAACACTAGAGGCGTAAAGTGCCATCCTGTAAATTATCTGACGGCGTTGAAACAAACTCATGGGTTCGAAACAGCAATCTCAATTCTGCAGATCCTCTGCTTTCCATGGTTTTGTGCAAAAAGAAAATTAGGATCTGCATAGTTTGCCATTCTGATGGACTAGAAAATAACTGCAAAACATCTAAGAAGGACTCACGCAAAATGATGGCGTGGTTCTATTCAGTGAAATTCTTCAACTTCCAGAGTCATATCTTGAAAAGGATAAGTTTCTGCCTTATGATTCTGTCGCATGAAGATCTTATAACATTTTCCTTGCTTCAAATTCATCATCAGTTCTTTCTTAACAGGGACTGTTGTTTTCGAGGAGAACTTTTACGGGGTTCAAAAATGACCACGTATTATAGGTGTTCAAAAAACCTAATGTTTCTATACGCGCGTCACTGAGAGACAGTTTCTACAGTGAATGATAGGATGAAGCCAGTGTTCGATGATAAAATCACGTCTTATCCATTCAAAATATGTAATCAGGCATGGAGGAGAAGATGACAGATCATGCTTTTACGGAAACAAAAAGTTTTTTTTAGCGTGTTTAAATGTACTCACGGAGCAGCTATCCGACGCCAAACGAATATTCCAACTGCTGCTAATGATGCTAAACCAACAAGGCCTCCGATGATTCCTCCGATCAATGTTCCAACGCTTGAAGCACTGTCTGCAAAGAATAATTTTTTTTTCTTCTTCAAACACTGACTAAAAATAATTGTTCACTGAAAAGAATCCTCTAGGAAAGAAAACCTCGATAAGACGAGAAACGGAGGGATGACGACAGCTCAAGGTTGCCCTTGCAGAATATTCATCGAAATGTCGGGAAAAATTGCGAACGATTTTTTTCCCCCACAGGAATTTTTTTTGTGTTTATCCGATGAATCACGCGTGCGGATTATTCTACTGTACTTCACCTGCAGATTTGAGTCTGCTCAAATAGCAGAACGCTTTGGCCTCGGGGCTTCTCGCGTCGTCCGTTCCTCCAATTGCCACCACGGTGCCTTCGTAACAGAATCCAGGCTTCAAATCTTTCACTGTGTATTCAACTTCGTTGCAAGGAGACACTTTCGATGACACGTTTTCATTATCGCTCATGGCTTCAGGTCCGAAACTGCAGTTGGAAACATTCATGAATTGCGGTCCGTAAATTGTTTGCTTTTCCGCGTCCGGCTGGTTGCAGTTGCTGGCGTCTTCGTCTACAGTCGTGTATTTTCTCACAACCACCTTCGAATGAGAAAAAAAAACCGTCGTGGAAAAGACGAATATATTTTTAACAATAGGACTGCTGACTTCGTATCCTGTGAGAGGCCCTTGTGCAGAAATCGGCGGCTTCCAGTGCAAAAGTATCCTGTCCTGGTCGCAATCGGCATTCATGTCAGACACTGACTCGGGATTATCCCCAGCTTTCTCTGCTCATGAAAAATTTCCATACAATATATTTTTTTCATTTTGGCAGTACATTTTCTCAACAAAATTAAACCGAAATATTCGGGTGCGGCCTATTTTTTTATATTTCGGAGTGTAAACCACACCCGAGTCGATTATCCGAGCATAGGCCACATCACGTTGAACACATATTTTCTCCAGCAGACTGTACTGAATATTTGCATAATGCTAAAAATGTATTACTTCAGCAATTCAAAAAGCTTTGCAGCAACACATACGCATCAGCAGCTTTTCCCGTCAAACATTTTCGGCGTTTTTACGGCCTATGCCACTTTTCATCTCGTGTTAGATGCACAAAATCAAGGGGTGGCCTAGAATCGCATGCGGCCTATATGGGCATAATTCCACGATTTTCAAAATCGCTTCATCATGATATTTTTTATTTGATCATTCCTTCTATTTTGAGTTGAATTTTTACGACTTTCAAAAATTATGTTTTCCATTGGGAAAAAATTACAAAGATTTGTATGAAAACCGCGGGGAAACCTCGATTTGGCGTAATGAATCCGAAAATTTATTTCTATAAAAAAATTGGCATCGTGTCCGGCGGTGTTTCTGCCGGGACCCGTGAAAAATTCGTGATAACGGAATTCGTCACAAAGGAATTTAACTTGTACAAGTGGGTATACTTGTGGGTATACAGTCTACACAAATAAAAGAGCAGTCGTAAACACCTGCAAGAAACGAACCTGCGTCATTTGGCCAAGTGGAAACATTCTGTGGGAAACTGAGCAATCCTGGGCCGGCAGATGACGTTGCCTGGACTTGGATCATGAAGTTGGCGTTTTCGACGATGCAGTCGTCCTTGGTCAAGGTTTTCTTGTGTCGGGTCAGTTCGTCGGCCTTGACGGAAATGACGATTTTGTCCTGACCGCCCTTGGTCTTCTTGCAGTCACAGGTCACGTTGGCAATGTCCGGACACCCGTTCCAAAAAAGCACGTGGATGGAAAAGTTCATGGGGCCCGGGTATGGTTTCGGGATTTCCCACGAAACGACTATTTGCCCCCGAACGGGACGAAGTACCACATTTTGTGGTCTGTCAGGTACTGTGAATAAGCGAGAAGAAGTCAAAATGCAGTGAAGTAAAATATTTACTGAAAGCTCGAACAGGATTATTCGGAAGCTTTGCACATCCAAGTCCAACGAAGAATTCGACTGAAAAAAAATCGGTTTTACGTTTTTTTTTCAATTCCTCTTCCTTCCTTTGAAGGCGTTTCTGAATCGCGAATAATGTATATGCATGTTTTTATAATAAGTGACTCAATCTTTTAAAAAATCCAGTGAATGAATAGTTGGAACGAACCATTTCCAACGGCAGGATTTTTCACTTTTTTTATTATCGGAAGTGTCTGAATTGATAAACCTGGTGGATGAATTGGGAAAATCAAATAATCAATAAAATTCTTTCATTCATCTGAAGAAAACGATTGTATTGAAAGTTCGTTTTGGATTCCCAATCATGATTTGTTCCTTCTTCAAAAAAAAGAGAGTAAGTCTTAAGGTCGATGGTGCCGTGTACAGTATTTGAGTAGACGTGGTACTAAGTATAAATACTGAACTGCAATAAGATTCACGTTGTGATCACTATGGGTTTAACATATTAATCACCATCATCATAATAACATTTTATGGATGTCATCGCGAGGAACTTTGAATTCGGAAAAATCCTGTAAAAGTTCGAGCACGGTGTAGTTCCCGAACAATTCAAATCATTCCAGCAGTGAACTGTTCTCTTTTTCGACGCCCCAGGGACTTTTCCATATTAGAAATGCTTCGGGGTCATTCTTGTCATCCTATTCATGCCTTCCTTCCGGAAACGCATTGTTGATGTTCTTCAAAGCGTCAGGAGTACTCAAGTCCATACAGATTCTACACGCATTTCAATTCGACACCGATTAAAAAAAAAGTTCTTCGAATAAGATAAATTAAAATTAGAAAGTTCTTACACCGGGATTAGAGATAAATTGAATTTAATTCCCGGATATAGGATTAAAATAAATGCTGTGTGCGAAAATTGAGTTCTTTCGAGTCTCTATTGATTCTCGAAATACTGCATGGAAAACCTAGTGAACTACTGAACTTCGATCCGTGGCAACTAGCAAGATGGCTAGCTCAAGGCCCTGAAGCGAATACCCACCGGACACCAATCATTCTTGGCCAAGTAGTACACCTCAGGAGGTTCCATCACTAACACGCAAAAATAGTACTGTATATAATTCCTCAAAGATGCTGAAAAGCATTGAATATGATTTATAACAGAGATTTTCAATTTTATTGTATATAGCTAGTCAACTTTCAATGATTGACAGTGTTCGCTGCCCACCTTTGAATGGCGAAGAATGCCAGATGTGTCATAACTGCAATCCCGGCTAATTTAAGTTACATTTTCCAGTATAAAAATAACTAGCTCTCGACTTATGGAAGCTTCTGTCAGAAAAGACGTCACAATTTTCTTCAACACATTTTTCAAGCCGCCAAAACAATTACAATGGCATTTTTCTGCGATTCTTCCTTCTTTTCCCCTAACCAAAATATGCGTTTCCTTTACGCGAAATCTCCGTAACTGGATTTTGTTTCAGCTGGTCCTCTCAAGTTTCACTTGAAGATGTTCGACTGCAGTTTGAATTCAAGCAAGTTGACTTAGATGGTATCACGAAGGTACATATACAGGTACTGTAGTACAGTTGAACCTCTTTCAAGTCGAATTTCAAGGGACCAGCAAAAAATTCGAGTTAGGGAGGTTTCGATATAGGGGAGCAAGCATTTTTGTTGGGCGAAAGAAGGAAAAATTACAGAAAATTGTAATAAGTGATTTTCTGCTAGGCCTGGAATTTATTCGTAAAATGAGTTGACAGGATGCCGAATTAGAGGCAAGAGTTCATTCGCCCAATTAGTCTTTAAATTCCTTTCAAATACTGTACATCAATTGACACTTATTTATTGATTCTATCTTTCCTATGTCTCAATAAAATAATGAGCCGAAATACGCCAGAAAATTCGAGTTGGGCAGGTTTGAAGATCGAGGGAAAGCTATCGAATCCGGAATATTTTTTTTCCTTCATTCTTTCTACGGAAATTCATGGAGGGACTTGCAAAAATATCGAGATGGGGAGGCATAATCGACTACGACTGGGTTCGGCTTCTCTATGCTCAACTGTTGCAGAAATAAATTCATTCATCTACATTTAGAAACAAGGCTTTTGAAGTCACTGTTTGCACCAAAAGCTTGTGTATCAGTGAGATAAGAATCTGGCATGAAGGTTTTCCAGATTCTTATCACCGAAGAAAATTTAGGTATAGAAAAGTGAGAATATCTCAAGATCTGTCAATTGGGTTAATTTTTATATGATACAAGAAAAGTTGAAGAACATCTTTGGCTTCAATGTAGAATGTTGGGGAATTTTCTCAAGTGTAAAATTCGCGGAGTTATTTGCTTCGGAAGTTTGAGCGTCGGGAATTGCGCCATAGGCGAAGCATCTTTTCTTTGCTGATTTTCTTTTTCTTTTTGAAAGTGAGTTTTTATTGCACAACGCAAGATTGTATTTGCCGATTGTGTGTGTGATTGTTGTCTTCATGAAACCTGTGATCAGAGACAATAAGAGAGTCCTCTTTTAACATCCAAGGAGTGAGGATGCTCCAGCTTCTCTTATTTTCTGCAGCCATAATGTAGTTTTCTACTTTTAAAATGAAATCCCCTTGGAGGATGGGTAACTGCCTCAGCACTCAGATGTCTCTTGCATCTGGAATGTTTTTAATGCAGCTTAAAATCTGCAATACTCAACTGTACAGTACATAAAAAAAAAGAAAGGCGGGTTGCAGCAAAATATGAAAATTAAGGCATCATGGATCTCACCGCTGGCACTGGTGAACACCTCGACGCTCGGGCTGAACTGGGACTCGACGTCGCCGGTCTTTTTCTTGAGTCGGACCCNTAGATGGTATCACGAAGGTACATATACAGGTACTGTAGTACAGTTGAACCTCTTTCAAGTCGAATTTCAAGGGACCAGCAAAAAATTCGAGTTAGGGAGGTTTCGATATAGGGGAGCAAGCATTTTTTGTTGGGCGAAAGAAGGAAAAATTATAGAAAATTGTAATAGGTGATTTTCTGCTAGACCTGGAATTTATTCGTAAAATGAGTTGACAGGATGCCGAATTAGAGGCAAGAGTTCATTCGCCCAATTAGTCTTTAAATTCCTTTCAAATATATCAATTGACACTTATTTATTGATTCTATCTTTCCTATGTCTCAATAAAATAATAGCCGAAATACGCCAGAAAATTCGAATTGGGCAGGTTTGAAGATCGAGGGAAAGCTATCGAATCTTCATTCTTTCTACGGAAATTCATGGAGGGACTTACAAAATTATCGAGATGGGGAGGCATAATCGACTACGACTGGGTTCGGCTTCTCTATGCTCAACTGTTGCAGAAATAAATTCATTCATCTACATTTAGAAACAAGGCTTTTGAAGTTACTGATCCACCGAAAGCTTGTGCATCAGTGAGATAAGAATCTGGCACAAAGGTTTTCCAGATTCTTATCACCAAAGAAAAGTTAGGTTTAGAAAAGTGAGAATATCTCAAGATCTGTCAATCGGGTCAATTTTTATATGATACAAGAAAAGCTGAAGAACATCTTTGGCTTTAATGTAAGATGCTGGGGAATTTTCTCAAGTGTGAAATTCACGGAGTTATTTGCTTCGGAAGTTTGAGCGTCAGGAATTGCGCCATAGGCAAAGCATCTTTCTTTGCTGATTTTCTTTTTTCTTTTTGAAAGGGAGTTTTTATTGCACAATGCAAGATTGTATTTTCTGATTGTGTGTGTGATTGTTGTCTTCATGAAACCTGCGATCAGAGACAATAAGAAAGTCCTCTTTTAACATCCAAGGAGTGAGGATGCTCCAGCTTCTCTTATTTTCTGCAGCCATAATGTAGTTTTGTACTTTCGAAATCAAATTCCCTTGGAGGCTGGGTAACCGCCTCAGCACTCAGATGTCTCTTGCATCTGGAATGTTTTTAATGCAGCTTAAAATCTGCAATACTCAACTGTACAGTACATAAAAAAAAAAGAAAGGCGGGTTGCAGCAAAATATGAAAATTAAGGCATCATGGATCTCACCGCTGGCACTGGTGAACACCTCGACGCTCGGGCTGAACTGGGACTCGACGTCGCCGGTCTTTTTCTTGAGTCGGACCCGGTACCGGCTGTGAGGTCGGACGGCGCCCTGGTCCACTCGTTTGTTCTTGCCGATCATCCATTGTTGGTCTGCCGCAGAGGAGTTGTCCTTGGTGACGAGCTGCACGCGCGGGATGGCCGAGTAATTGCCCGCGCACTCGGGCCCGTCACAACCAGGCGTGTCCACGTACGAGATCTCGGCCAGGTAAGTGACCGCCTGCTGCTGCTGCTGCGGACTCGAGGCGTCCTTGCTGCTGCTGATGCTGGAGGGCTTCTGCCAGCGGAGCAGGAAGTTGAAGGGCCCCACGTTCGTCACTCGGACCTTTTCCGGAGGCGACTCCAGGGACGTGTAACCCTCTATGTACATATGCAGGAAAAATCTCGTGGTTAGAAAAAATGCCGATACAATGCAATTTTAAATTTTGTTTAGCGAACTTTTTCTAAATTCCTGGCAGATGGCGTCGTTGCAACGAATTTTTCCTTTAAAATGTTTTATGACGGATTTTCCATTAGAACGAATTTATCTTATTGGTCCCAGCGGCAGTTCCTGAATAGGAACTATGTTATAAAATCATGTGATAAAAAACTAATTTTTATCTTTAATATACGAAACAAATACTGTCGCCACGAATACTCAATATAGTATAGAAAACAATTCTCAAGTCCCGGTAGAACGAATTTCCCCTCAGATCTTGTCGTTGCCACGAATGTTTCGTCGTAACAACTGCTTCGTTAGGACGTGTAACCCTCTATATATATATATATGCAGGAAAAATCTCGTGGTTAGGAAAAATGTCGTTACAATGCACTTTCCAATTACAGTATGTGTAACAAACTTTTTCTAAATTCCCGGTAGATGACGTCGTTGCAACGAATTTTTCGTTTAAATAAAAAAATTTTTATGACGAATTTTCCATTAAAACGAATTTATCTTGGTCCCCCATCTGCAGTTCCTGAATAGGAACAATGTTATAAAATCATGTGATAAAAAACTAATTTTTATCTTTAATATACGAAACAAATACTGTCGCCATGAATATTCAATATAGTATAGAAAACAATTCTCAAGTCCCAGCAGACCGAATTTCCCCGCAGATCTTGTCGTTGCCGCGAATGTTTCGTCACAAACTTCTTCGTTAGGACACATTTTTCCATGAAAACGAATTTTTTTGTCCCAGCAGTGCCTCATTAGGAACAATGCTACAGAATGTCATTTTAACAAATTAATGCTCCTTTTCAATGAACGAACCAAATACAGTATTGTTGAAACAAATATTCAATATAGTATTTAAAAAAAACTTGTTTTCAAGTCCCGGCAGAACGAATTTGCCGGCAGATCTCGTCGTTGTAACAAATGTTTTGTTACAACAACTTGTTCGTCAAGACGAAGTTTTCATGAAAACGAATTTTTTCGGTCCCAGCAGTTCCTCAATAGGAACAATGTTATAAGATTTCGTTTTAACCAATTATTTTTCCTCTTTCATATACGAAACGAATGCTGTTGCAACACATTTTTCTGCATTAAAGAAGAACTGTATCTTCGAAAATAAAGCACTGTACTGAACGTTCACCGCTTTTCTCTATATGAAAAAAGGAAGAAATTTACCGCACATAATTTTTCTTTCTTGAGGTTTGCGATAAGTTGAAGAGGCTCTGAACCATACCCATATCAAAATTAATTTTGAAATTAATTGCGGACCCGCGGTTCATGTGGCGTACGCAGTGGTCCTCGCTTTTCGCTAACGTAAATTCTTGAACCAATCATCCATGGTTAATTTTCGTCTGATTTTAAAGGAATTTCACTTCACATTCATAGATTCTTCTTGTATCTACTCCTTCACTTATTTCTCTGGAGTAGCAATGGAGCTCTTTATTAGGAAGACGAGCATAGCAGATAATGAAGTAGGTCAGAGCACCGAATGAAACGCTAACCTTTCAGCGAAGAGAAATCACATAGATGACGATCTTCTCTACCCATATTTTCAAATGAAATGAACAAAAAAAATCTTTGAAGTAGTACTGCAGAATGTATGTGGAATGTTCTGAAGATGAAATCTAACGGTGTTCGTAGAATTTTCCAACAATCCTCATATATAATCTGAGAATCCTCAAACGGTGTTCGTAGAATTTTTTTCTAACAATCCTCAGATTATATTGTCACAAAAGATTTCGATCGATCGATCCAGAGATGAGGGAATAAGAGGCAGTTGAATTCGATTTTGAAAATACAGGTATTTTCTAGGTGGCACTTTTTCTGTAAACCTCATTTTAAAGGGCTAATTTTCGGGATTAGGCCTATATTTCGAGTTGCTACGCATAATACCATGGCCCTCGGAAATACAGTATTTCAATTCTAGATGGACGTCTTCGTGTGAATGAGGTTTCTGAATACCGTTCGGAAAACGGTTGCACTGACTGCCGAAGGTACTCCAATAAACTTTTTGACGGAGGTACTGTACTTTTATTCATAATTTTATACGTGTCACGGCTCCCAATGAGATACGACTAATTTAAAAAAAATTATCAGCAGCTGTCATAAATAATTTCGATTAATCAAAAATTAGTTTTTCCAAATCCACCATTTCAGTTGTACTGTATTTATAGTCCTTCGCATCATATTTCGGGGTTTGATTAACGCAAGAAATCATGCCCCTCGTTAGAGGAAAAACTGCAACGAATTTCGTTATGAAGCGTTGAGAAAGCGCACGGGGGAAAATTGAATTTTTTGCAGGTAATTTAATACAATACCAACTTCAAAAATGTATTCTTCGTCTACAACAAGAAGCCAATCTTGAAAAAAATATAGCCATTCGCTGGCGTAGAAGGGAAATGTTACTTTTTCAACGCATCAAATTTTGCAAAATTTTTATATCCTATATACGTCACGAGGTTTGATTTTTCTCTCCCAGATTCCCCCAAATGGCCTTCATTGACAGAAATGAAAAACACTGTCAGCAGTTGCGTGAGGAAGCGGAACTTTTGTCTGTAGGTAAGGAAAGCCTTTTATAACTAGAGAGAATAGTGTTTGTAAAGCGGTAAGTAACCAGGAGACCCTCTTTTATTGTCTTTCGATGACGCTTTTTATAAGACTAAATGTTTTTATTATTTTCAAGTCAAGGGCAGAAGGCCAACTCTCTAGGCTTTGTGTTATCAAAAGAAAGGCTTATTAAAATTAAAGTACCTGTAACCAGAAAAATACGGAAAATGCATAAATACGCAACTAATGTAGAATCAAACTATCATCCCCAAAATCCGTACAGACGGCCTCACTATACAACAAAATTCAGAATACCTGAAAAATTCTCACTAGAGAGAATTTCGCTGTACAGAACCCCTATGGAATCAGAAAAAATTAATTTCCAAGAGGAAATCGAAATCGTAAATGACAAGATCATTGTGGAGAGAGTCCATGAGCATTACAAAGTTGCGGTAGGATGAACCTATACTTCCAGGTTTTACACATAATTTCAAACATGCAAAGCATTTTGCTTTTTTTACTGTTATTTCCTTCTTCTTTCGAAATCCATCGCTGTGCCAACTAGCGAATGGAAAATTCTTTATTTGTCCTCAGAAAAATGCTCGAAGTGCCATTAATATTTCTAAAAAAACGTTATGCAATCGATGGTAGAGAATTTTATCAGTTGGAAATAGAACACAAGCAGATCGATTCAATAGTTCACGATTTCCTATTTACTTCGCTCGGGTTGTTTATCGCAATTGAAATTTGGATTGCGCAATCGCCAATTCCCTGAAAACGTACCCCCAGTCGACATGGCAATCACGGATAAATCCAAAAATGATTGCCCAATCGAAAACGCTACAAAAATCTGATTTTTTGCGATAACGAAATCGCAATTTCGCTCACAATCGAAGAATGTTCCCCAAAAGATTTTTTTCCGTTTCAGTCATAATCTTCTTGGAGGGAGTAGAACTGTAGTAGCTCATTATTCCTTCAAAAATAGCTCCACCTATTTTTTACTTACTCAAAGCTCACTAAATGGGCAGCAAATCAAAAAATTAATCCTCGTATCAAAAAATTAAGGCATTGGAAAGTAAATTTAAACTGGTTCGAAGTTATGAAAAAAATCAAACACAATTGAAAAAAATGTGTCTCCTCCCAAACTAAGGAGATGGTGATCAGCTACAGGATCAGATCAAAATGGTCTATAAATGTGGTCCATGGAGAAAAAAGAGAGTGGTATCCAACTTGAAAAATAAAATAACTGTAAATTCTTGAAGAAAAAGCAAACTCTCAAATTAAATCCATTAAATGTATTGTCAGCAATTCACATCATTGCTCATAATTTGCCTAACAACAACTGATAATTTTCTTGGCATATTAGTTTTTGCATAGAAAATACTGTATTGAGAACTTCAAGAACTCCTACAGGGAATGTGAACATTTGACTCTCACGGCATGATATAAGATGAAATTTTGTATTTTGAAAATACAGTACTTGCAAGCTGAGTGTCAATTAGAAACATTTAAAACGGAAATAATTTTCAAGAACTTTCTTTTTCATTTTGAGCTAAGTTTGAAAGTATAGAAACTATAGATAACGTACTCCATGGAATTTAATTACTGCATTAAATAAATTTTTGATTCTGAACAAGTTCATCGTATAAGACTCTAATTTTATGGACAAAACTGCGATTTAGATTGTAATGAATGAATTTGCGCCAATCGCAAGCATTGCGATTTCGATTTCACTTGCGATTGGGGGTTAATTGTGTCACAATTCACAATTAGCAACACCATCTTCTTCGTTCGAGATAAAATATCCGGAATTTCATCGACGTCTTCTGAAGAGAAATTATATATGCCAATAGCACACTATAATTCGGGTGAACATTTCCTAGCGAACTATAAATAGGAAAGATTTTCGTATCGATAATCCGGTCATAAATTCTGCACAAAGAGTCCTCAAGTACACCGGAAAAAATCTTGCGCTCGAGTTACGCGGGTTAACGACTACCCTTCATCGGGAAAGCAGTAATTATCTTGTACATACAGTATTCAAGCGGTACTTGTCGCTAGTTTTTTTTTCTTCTTCTTCTCTGGACTCGAACAAAGGGGAGTCTATACTTTCCATGGAATGTAATTAGTTTGTCAATCATCGTCGGACTAGATTTACCGTTGCTTGCGCCGGGTTGATCCCCGTCCGGCGACTCGACGACGATCGGCGTCACGTTGCTCATTTGCCCGAGAGGAATTGTTGTGGCGGCGCCGCCGCCAGCTTGTGATGCCGATGGAATCGCCGCCGTGGTAGGCGCCTCGCCGGTGCCAGGTTGCGGGGATAGGGCGCCGTCGACCGCGGTTTGAGGACCAGCGCCGGCGCTCTTTCGCACTCGTGTCACAGAGCCGCTGAGTCCTGCAAATTTTTCATAAAATTGATGTTTCTAGATGGCCAAGGTTCTTTAAAGTGTTATCGGTTTGAAAAGAACCAATCTCTTGAACGGTTTCAGGAATCGTCTTACACATTTTCATGCAAAATTCCCGCGATTACAAGAACTATTATTACGAAAAAAGGTCGAGTTAGAAGAAAATGCGACGCAAAATATCCAGGAAATGGCTTTTCGGGGGTTTCCTGGTGTTTATTTATGAACTATTTCAACATTGCCGATTTTCCCCCGCGATATTTCTCTCATTCNGTTGGCACTCCTTCGCCTTGAAAACAGACATCCATTCCTTTCGGAAAATATTGATCTCTCTTATCACAAACATTTCGCCATTCATTGGTCCTCTGGGAGAAAATAACAGAAAGCTACTGCGAAAAATATTCGCTAAATGTTTTTATTCTTTTCAAGTCAAGGGCAGAAGGCCAACTCTCTAGGCTTTGTGTTATCAAAAGAAAGGCTTATTAAGATTAAAGTACCTGTAACCAGAAAAATACGGAAAATGCATAAATACGCAACTAATGTAGAATCTAACTATCATCCCCAAAATTCGTACAGACGGCCTCACTATACAACAAAATTCAGAATACCTGAAAAAATTCTTACTAGAGAGAATTTCGCTGTACAGAACCCCTATGGAATCAGAAAAAAATTAAATTCCAAGAGGAAATCGAAATCGTAAATGACAAGATCATTGTGGAGAGAGTCCATGAGCATTACAAAGTTGCGGTAGGATGAACCTATACTTCCAGGTTTTACACATAAATTCAAACATGCAAAGCATTTTGCTTTTTTTTACTGTTATTTCCTTGTTCTTTCGAAATCCATCGCTGTGCCAACTAGCGAATGGAAAATTCTTTATTTGTCCTCAGAAAAATGCTCGAAGTGCCATTAATATTTCTAAAAAAAAAACGTTATGCAATCGATGGTAGAGAATTTTATCAGTTGGAAATAGAACACAAGCAGATTGATTCAATAGTTCACGATTTCCTATTTACTTCGCTCGGGTTGTTTATCGCAATTGAAATTTGGATTGCGCAATCGCCAATTCCCTGAAAACTTACCCCCAATCGACATGGCAATCACGGATAAATCAAAAAATAATTGCCCAATCGAAAACGCTACAAAAATCTGATTTTTTGCGATAACGAAATCGCAATTTCACTCACAATCGAAGAATGTTCCCCAAAAGATTTTTTCCGTTTCAGTCATAATCTTCTTGGAGGGAGTAGAACTGTAGTAGCTCATTATTCCTTAAAAAATAGCTCCACCTTTTTTTTACTTACTCAAAGCTCACTAAATGGGCAGCAAATCAAAAAATTAATCCTCGTATCAAAAAATTAAGGCATTGAAAAGTAACATTTAAACTGGTTCGAAGTTATGAAAAAAATCAAACACAATTGAAGAAAAAAAATGTGTCTCCTCCCAAACTAAAGAGATGGTGATCAGCTACAGGATCAGATCAAAATGGTCTATAAATGTGGTCCATGGAGAAAAAAGAGAGTGGTATCCAACTTGAAAAATAAAATAACTGTAAATTCTTGAATAAAAAGCAAACTCTCAAATTAAATCCATTAAATGTATTGTCAGCAATTCACATCATTGCTCATAATTTGCCTAACAAAAACTGATAATTTTCTTGGCATATTAGTTTTTGCATAGAAAATACTGTATTGAGAACTTCAAGAACTCCTACAGGGAATGTGAACATTTGACTCTCACGGCATGATATAAGATGAAATTTTGTATTTTGAAAATACAGTACTTGCAAGCTGAGTGTCAATTAGAAACATTTAAAACGGAAATAATTTTCAAGAACTTTCTTTTTCATTTTGAGCTAAGTTTGAAAGTATAGAAACTATAGATAACGTACTCCATGGAATTTAATTACTGCATTAAATAAATTTTTGATTCTGAACAAGTTCATCGTATAAGACTCTAATTTTATGGACAAAACTGCGATTTAGATTGTAATGAATGAATTTGCGCCAATCGCAAGCATTGCGATTTCGATTTCACTTGCGATTGGGGGTTAATTGTGTCACAATTCACAATTAGCAACACCATCTTCTTCGTTCGAGATAAAATATCCGGAATTTCATCGACGTCTTCTGAAGAGAAATTATATATGCCAATAGCACACTATAATTCGGGTGAACATTTCCTAGCGAACTATAAATAGGAAAGATTTTCGTATCGATAATCCGGTCATAAATTCTGCACAAAGAGTCCTCAAGTACACCGGAAAAAATCTTGCGCTCGAGTTACGCGGGTTAACGACTACCCTTCATCGGGAAAGCAGTAATTATCTTGTACATACAGTATTCAAGCGGTACTTGTCGCTAGTTTTTTTTTCTTCTTCTTCTCTGGACTCGAACAAAGGGGAGTCTATACTTTCCATGGAATGTAATTAGTTTGTCAATCATCGTCGGACTAGATTTACCGTTGCTTGCGCCGGGTTGATCCCCGTCCGGCGACTCGACGACGATCGGCGTCACGTTGCTCATTTGCCCGAGAGGAATTGTTGTGGCGGCGCCGCCGCCAGCTTGTGATGCCGATGGAATCGCCGCCGTGGTAGGCGCCTCGCCGGTGCCAGGTTGCGGGGATAGGGCGCCGTCGACCGCGGTTTGAGGACCAGCGCCGGCGCTCTTTCGCACTCGTGTCACAGAGCCGCTGAGTCCTGCAAATTTTTCATAAAATTGATGTTTCTAGATGGCCAAGGTTCTTTAAAGTGTTATCGGTTTGAAAAGAACCAATCTCTTGAACGGTTTCAGGAATCGTCTTACACATTTTCATGCAAAATTCCCGCGATTACAAGAACTATTATTACGAAAAAAGGTCGAGTTAGAAGAAAATGCGACGCAAAATATCCAGGAAATGGCTTTTCGGGGGTTTCCTGGTGTTTATTTATGAACTATTTCAACATTGCCGATTTTCCCCCGCGATATTTCTCTCATTCAACCGTTCATTATTCCTTCCGTCGCTTTTTTTTATTTGCAATGTACAGCACACCGAATTCGATTCATTGGCGTATTTTTGTAAATTCATGCAATTGCCTTGCGATTGATGAGGTTCGATTTAATTTTTTGCTTAGGTTGTTACATGACCACCACGGAAATGTGAAAACTAATCTTCGATAACTTTTATTTCTGATATTCATTTTCTCGAGTCTTTCCCGTGTGTGCTATAGACATAGAGACTTGGGAATAAAAAAAAATAAACGAAAGAACCTAAATTGGAAGTCTACAGGCAGCTTTCATTAAATTCTTTCCTCTTCTCGGCTTGAATCCAGACACGGTTATTTCAGGTAAGAATAATCACGATTTTCCCGCAATCATCAAGATTTTTCTCCCATTTCTCATTTGTGAAAAAACTCAATTGCAATATAGTTCGAATGAAAATTCGATGAACCTCAGTCAGGCTTTTCTTTACATTAGATGCATTCTAAAAATTAGATTCACATGAGATGCCCTTCCAATAATCGATCCAGTTAATTGTAGGTCTTAATAACTCACGTCTTTTGCAATAGTTCGAACGGAGACGTGGTAAACCTCATCTAGACATTTCTTCAACAAAATTCATTGATTTAAAAACACGATTTAAACTAGATGCCTTGCTCTGTTCTTCCATCCGCGAAACATTTGCGGATACTGTATTATCACTCCACCCGACAAAAATCCGGGCACTAGTTTTTCAAAACGCAAAAAAAGGAAGGTCGACGTTCTCTTTCACTTGAAATACAGAGAAGAACGAAATGATCGAGAAAAAAAAAAACTGTAATCTGTACAAATCGCAAGCTCACCTGACGCGGAGTCGAGATTATACAGCGGATACCGTTTCGGAAATTTGTTCTGTGTTTGGCTCATCGTCAATGCCATCGAACGCCGACGTTTGCTGGCATTAATGTCATTTCCAACGACAGCAGAGGGAATGAATCGTGACGAGCGAAGAGCCGAATTGGATCCCGACGAATTCAGTGGCTCGAAAAAGGTCTGGTCCTCATTCGAAGTACCTCCCAGTGGCTGACGTTGGGTCAGAGCTTCTCGACTTCGTAACCTGCTCCGTCTAGCTGCGAAACGCTCCACGTCAACGTTCTACATTAAAAAAAAAAGAGACACAAATACCAGAAGCTCGTTATTATTTTTTCACAGGTAGGAAAACGGAGCTCATCGCGAGTTACGTCACGATCTATATACTGTACGTGGGTACGACTTGGGCAGTTCTCTGAGTGTTGGTTGATTAACCCTCAGGTCAACTAATTTCTAGTGCTTCAAAGCTGTTTCCCCGACCGGTGATGGTCCGTGGCCTGGGGTTGGTCCGCTGAAGTTTTTTTCCACTGGTTTCAGGGAAATTGTCTTCAGTATTATATTATACATTCATCAAAATTACAGGATAGAAATGAAGCCTTTCCTCTTTATCCGAAAATTTTGGAAAGACAACGGGAATTGAAATTATCTGATGAACAATAAAAGTTGGCGTTTCTCCAAATAGCACTTGACACAAATTTTCACCTAATGAAATAAGTTATACACTGTACATTTTCAATTCTGAGAAACCTTTTTCAAGCTCACCATTCGAATTGTTGAAGTCATTCCACTGAATTTGCTTCATTGATTCTCAACTTATTTTTTTCCAAAAATCAGAAATTTTTTGAATGCCTGCGAAGTCTCTCTAACAGAACTTCTTGAGTTCGCAATCATTTTATGAAACTTTGCCAGTCCACAGAAATTTTGTGAAAATTTGCAGATCCCTGGGTCCAAAAAGGTTGGGGAACACTGCTTTCATAATAAACTTGAAGAAGACGATCTCCGCATTGCATAATGGAACATTTTTAGTGTGTTTTAATTTTCGGAAGCAGTCATTTAGAAGTTCTACGACGTTCAAAAAATAAAGGATGATGTGGAACAGATTAACAATGTATGATGTCAGGAAGAGCTCTATTATAGCAGCGTTGCATCAGAGAAAGTCTGGGAAATTATGAAGAAAGTTCCGCAAGATTCTCGTCGTGTGCTTCGATTTATTGCAGTGCATACTTTTCCTTTCCGTTCCATTATCTGTCTAGTTCTAACGATTCACAGATGATGTCAAGAGGAAAACACCGGGAATTAGTAATTTTCAAAAAAAAACCGGTCGATTAGTCATTTTTACTGCTCCCGATTATCGCATCTTTCGCTCGCTCCATTTTATTTGCTCGTGTAAATGGGTTCAACAGATATTTTGTTGCCTCCCCGTCCAGATCAATCTTTCGAAATAAATCTGTTTTCGAAAGTGTTCTTGCAGATCGATGAACCAATTCTAAACTCGCATTAGCGAAAATGCAGGACATTTTCGCATGAAATCTTCGTAATTCCCCCCGCGTGCTCCTTTTAATGGATGACGTCTCTTTGGTGATCGCTGGTCTTTCATCTCCCGGTTACTTTATTCATCTCAATGATCCAACTGATATATTTCACTTGATTCTCTTTTTAGTTGGAGGGGGGGGGGGGAAACAGTAAGAAAAGTGGAGAACTGAAGTCAGACTCGTTCGGATTCCGCATCCGGACCGGCGATTCCCAATTCTCACGACTGCTGCGTTCACGTGTTCCCTTGTGAACATGGTTTTATCGTTTATCGCGGAATACTTGACGATTTTCCTTATTTTTCATCTTCTTTCTTTCTTTCTTTTTGCGCACTTGTTCCCTGATTTCAACTCATCATCTCGACGAGCGCGAGAACGAATACTCGTCAAACGAAATAAATTTCCGTCGCGCGGGACGAATTGCACTATTCACTCGGATTGCACGGTTCGGGAAAAATATAGAAGAATCGCAGGGGTTTCCTAAATACATGTACGAAACCATAGTAATACGGAATACGAGGGAAAATGTGTACAGCATGCAAAAAGACTCGGATTTCGGTTCTGGCTTGAAAAAAATAAAACGCGGAGGACGCGAGGCACGTGTAGACGACCTGATGCGCATTATTTGCTGCTGAGCAAGCCCTCGAACACCCGGAATACATTTCCTCGTCAAAAGGTCAAGGACGAAAGCCATCGTCTGCCACACATGTCTTTCTTTTAACTTGGGGGAGAGCAAGAATCTTCTCCATATTCTCTGAGTCAACCAGAACCTTCTTCTTTTTACAGGGGTGCCGGAATGAAACGTACGAGACATAGGGTTCCGCCTGGTTTCTGTTTCAGTGAAAGGTCTTCGTAATAGTTCGACAAAATAATATAATAATAGTTGTGAGGCATTCCGGTGCAGTTTTTTTTTCGTTTAACGATAATTTCTCGTATCATATGATGATAAATGCAGAATTGAACTATTCACTCATAAAGATTATGTTACATCCAAAATTGTTAATCTGAATAATAGGATTTGAATCAACTCTGTGATATCTTGGCTTCAGTCGAGTCGGATTTTTAAATCCGGTAGTTTACGCTGAACTAATCTGTGAGAATAATCGAAGATGACTTTCGTTCGAATGAAGGTAATGTAGATTAAATCGTTTACATAGATTCAAAATTTATGGTTTCTCTATCAACATGCAACGCCTGGCTTGATTTTCACAAATATTTCGCATCAAGCGCTAGTATTTTTTTTTATTATAAGCCAGTGATGATTCATGAGCAGAATCTCACAATAACTCAGAGAATGAGAAAAAACGCTAGAAAACTAGATTGGGAATTCTGCAAATTCAAAACATTTATCAATTTCGTTCAATGCTGAGGACGGTAAATTTCATTCATTATCTTCAACAGGCACCTTCATGAGAACATCGACCTCTTCCCCGCACAGTTTCTCAAAATTTAATTTTCTATCTTTCATGAAAATTAATTATCATTTCTCTGAAAACTGCCCAGTACCCAGCAGCGAAATTGAAGAACAAAATGTCAGTTTTCAGACACCGAAATCTCTGCCAAAAATTGAGTTTTCCGTTCCAGAAAATCTTTGTATTTTCTCACGGGCACTCTCCTACATTTAAAAAATTACATTTTGCAAAGGTAGTATCAATCCCACTGCAGTAGTATCCCACTGCAATCCCACTACTGATCCAAAAGAAATTCTGGGTTTAAAATCTCGCCGAACCTAACCTTCTGCCTTAAACAAATTCAGCATTCCACTTGACTGAAAAGTCATCCTTTCAAAGTCATTTTTACTAAGATATGGTTGATACCCAGGTAATGATACGTAAATACTGTATCTAGTATAAGGCAGTATATGGTCTCAAATTTTGTATTCATTTTTACGGAAAAATGGTATGACTGAAACAAGAGAAAATGTGATGGACCAGAAAAATTGCTAAATAAAAGAGCATAACTTCTTTCTTCAATATTACCAGACAGAAAAAAAATTATTTCCATCGCACACCTTACACGCCGGTAATAGGGACTTCTCCACAAAGGGGGTTTTTCCCTCGAATTTCAGAAGAATCCTTGTATGAAATAAAAAAGTTTGAACCATCAATGATGTTTCAGAGCGTGCCATACAAAAAAAACTCCTCTGTATCCATGAGAGCACCTGGTCCATTGCTGAAATTGTACAAAGGGCTTGGATTTTTCTTCTTGCAAGTCCTCAGATCAATCACGTGGTGGTTCTTCGTGTGCTTGCAAATAAGGCACGCGACTGAGCAACGAGACTGACTTATTATTCCACCGGAGATCGGAAGGGAACGAATGTTTTACCAGCAGGCAGAAGTTCCACAAGCACTCGAGTGTGCTCAAGGCGTGGATGACTAAGTTCCTATTGAATTTTCCTTTTTTTTTTAAAATCCAAGTGCATCATCGAGATGGCAGCTCTTAATATTGATTGGACTATATGGGAGCTGGAAGTCGGGAGTATTAGTTGCTGCAATAAATTTGCCGGGAAGGTGACTTTTTTTTCGGATTAGTCCAATGTTTGGCTTCGCGAGAGATGAAAACTACGTCATAAAAGCTGCGAAGTGCATCTGAGGGTCACATTTTACGACGGGAGGAAAATGGACGGGCTAATGAAACTTTTGCGAGAATCGTGTGACTCATGAGCCGGTAATCCACGTTTAAAAAAACTAAAACATTAAGTTTTTCGGCACCCGATATTGACTGAGCTGCATTTATTTTAAAGATATTGAATGTATTGATACAGTATTCCCTCAGTATAGAGCGTTATTCCTGTTTTCGTCTCCCACGGTCGATGACAATATTTATGCACGAGGTGATCTTCCCGGGGCACAGAATACTCCTTTTTATTCCGCTTTGTTTTCCAGTAAACCTTTGGTATTCGCTATTATTTCTGAACTTCGTCGACGCGTACTTTATTTTTCAGACGTGCCACCGATTTTGTTTGTTGAATTTCGGTGGAAAAGCAGCTTCAATGTATTTTTTTTTTTGCAGCCAAGGAAAGTCAACACAAGAGGTCTAAAAATCGAATGTTATTTCTTGCCAGCCAGGGCTTCAAGTCGAAAGAAAGTTCGATACTTGGATCAAAGCACTGTATAATTCTTCAACGCATTCACATGTTTGTGAGATTGACCCAAGAGTCGACGATCGAGAGAACAGATAATTATTCGGAATTATCAGCAGCTATTTCAATATTCGAAGAAACAAATTCCGGCAGCAAAAGTTGTTTGCAATCACTGAAGTTCAGATTGCTTAGTCCCACCAAGACTGAGACGCATTATTTTTCCGTCGGCACTATAAACATGATCGATTTCCTGAAATTCTTGCTTTAAATATGATTGACGTCGTAAAAAAACCCCTTTAAGCTACTCAACGAGAAAAAAACTATGCATCTTCTCGTATTTTCTCTGTTCGCTGAAAAGTTTACTGAGGAAGAAATTGTTTTTCTCAGTAAAAAGTGGAGCAAATATCCTGCTAAAACTGCATAGCTTCCATGAAATCTGCTGAAGGTCGCGAGAACACTCCTCGAGGTATCAAATTTCATTTAGTGCAGAATTGTATCTAAAACCTCTCTATATACAACGTTAGAAAGAAGAAACCTGCAAGTACGAGGAACTCCGATTTTTCGCGAATATTTGGCATAGAAGTACTGTATTGCGGAAGTACTGTGTCAGCATCGATTTAGCGGAAGACATAGTATACATTTCTTACTCGCGAACTATATGGAACATTACTGCACTCACTCGTTTTATCACCCAGTGGCAACTCTCCTGTACTTTTCCTTCGCCAGTAGTCCAACAAGCGCAACCGCTGTATCAAGTCACACAGAAAATTAAATGCGTCCGCGAACTTACTCATTTACAACTAGATTCTGAGGATTAATCTTCGAAATATCGTATTTATTAAAATAAAAACCGAACTGCTGGGACAACAAATTCTGAGTTTTTAGCATGTCAAAGGCTCTTTAAAAAAAAGGACGGAAAATATGCCAAAAAGGAATTTCCCCTCTTTCCCTTGGCCAAATGCCAGTAAATTCAAGCACGTATCGTAAATCTAGACACGGAATCGAATTCAGTGGCTATTTCATCGGAACTCCGGCAGGTGAAAATTCGAATCTGAAAAATACTGTGCTTGGAAAAGCACAGGAACACTCTCTCAAAAAATAGAACGAGAGAATTTTTACATCTGCGGGGTGTCTGTCTCATGTCACCACTTCGTGGCACATTCGAAATGCCC